CCTGATCCCACAAGACCTCATTCTCCATCATGCTTCCAGGGGCTGGGGAAATAATTGCTCGGTTGGTCTGAAGACATAATGGGCCCATCACAAGCCAGAACTTTCTCAAGACTCTGCTTGTCACCTGGCCCTCCCAGGCCCCAGTTCCAAGAGAGCAGCGGTTCTCCACCTTCCGCATGCCGCGGCCCTTTCATACAGCGCCTCGTGGTGTGGTGACCCCCAACCATAACATTATTGTCGTTGCTACTTCATCACTGTGACTTTGCTACTGTTATGAACCATAACGTAAATATCTGTGTTTTCCGATGGTCGTAGGCGACCCCTGTGAAAGGGGTCTCAGCCCTCAGGTTGAGAACTGCTGCTGCAGAGCCACATGCGGCTCTCCGGCCCCTGGAGTGCGGCTCTTCCACAGAACACCACGGCCTGGGCGAGTCTATGTTGAAAAGGTGGCGTTAGAAGAAGTTTAAGTTTAAAAAAGAGATTTCAGTCGTCGTGCTGCGATATTTGGCTCTGTTGTTGACTAATGGGCTGGGTCCTCTCGCCGACCTGTAGCTAAAACCACCCCCTGGGACTCCCCACCTCTGTCCGCCGGCATCAGCTCTCACGCCTGACGTTACCCTAATCGCCCGCCGTCCCAGGACGGAGCCCAGGAACATGGGAACCTTCCAGAGGCCCTGTGATCCCAATCACTGGGAATATCCACACGAAAACGACGGGTTCCCCTGCCTCTCCCCCTCCCCCAGTCTCCCAGCGACCCCAAGGGTCAGCAAAAACACCAGATGGAAAAACTATGTGAATACACTGTCTGTGAAGGTACATGTTTATAAACATCTGCCAATGGAAACAAATATCAGAAGCTGAATTAGAAATCCAGGTCTCAAAACAGTATTGTTACAGAATGCCGGATATTGGAGATACATCGATTAAGCTGAACAAATTTAAAAATGCTTCTTTAAAACAAATCCATGGGGCCGGGACCGGTTTGGCTCAATGGATAGAGCGTCGGCTTGGGGACTGAAGGGTCCCAGGTTCGATTCTGGTCAAGGGCATGTACCTTGCTTGTGGGCATATCCCCAGTAGGGGGTGTGCAAGAGGCAGCTGATTGATGACTCTCTCTCATCGATGTTTCTAACTCTCTATCTCTCTCCCTTCCTCTCTGTACAAAATCAATAAAATATATTTTAAAAAATAAATAAATAAATAAAACAAATCCATGGGGATATACAACACAAATACTATTGGGACATCTACTCCACGATGATGCTTCCTAGCTACCATTATCCTGTGAGTAAATAGTGCTTCAGGCGGAGTTTTACCAGAGCCGCTCCAGGGTCATCAGCCCGCGACCCCGGAGCGTGCGCACCCCTGGCCGTCAGGAGGCGGACGGTGCAGGTAGCCGCGAGTTCCAAAGCGGTCTGCAGGGCGTAGAGCCAGCAGCACATGGACAGGACATGTCCAGTAAACCACCTGGGGAATGGAGTGGCCCTCAGGACTGGGGGAAGTTGCTGACAGCCACAGCGAGCATGGGTTTGGGAACCAGGAAATACAGGGTCCAACCAGGAAAGGTTTACTCAGCAAAGGGAAGAAAAAAAAATCTACTTTTCAACACATGGGCATCCCCACAGAAACAGGAAGATGCTTGTCCGCTAGAGCAGTGGTCAGCAAACTCATTGGTCCACAGAGCCAACTATCAACAGGACAACGACTGACATTTCTTTGGAGAGCCACATTTTTTAAACTTAAACTTCTTCTAACGCCACTTCTTCAACATAGACTCGCCCAGGCCATGGTATTTTGTGGAAGAGCCACACTCAAGAGGCCAAAGAGCCAAGTTTGCCAACTCCAGCGCTAGGGCAAGCGAAGCAGAGAACCGTGTGACTGCGATAGCTCAGCAGCCACCCAGGTGTGGGCTGTGAGCGCGGCCGTTACAGCTGTCCTGGATGAGAAGGTTTCTCACCGTTTGTAACTCGTTTATTCGCTTTTGGGGGTTTAAAATTGCAATTGCGATCGATTTCCAAACGATTTTTCTCCAGCGGCGCTCTGAAAATGTATTTGTAACGAAAAACACGCTTTCCGCGTTGGCCATGGAGTGAGAACCGCACGTGAGCCGGTGCCTCCCGCAGAGCGTGCCTGGTTCCGCTCACAGCTCAAGGCGGTCTGCGGGGCCGGATACAGCAACGCCCGGGGCCGTGTGACTGTCCAGCCGGGGCGCAGGCTGGGGCCTCGGGCTGCCACCTGACCCCATGCTGGGGGAGTCACTGCTGATAAACCCATGACACACTCACTCCAGCCAACTCCCCTCCTGAGCTCCTACCGCCGTCCTCTCTGTGCTGCTGGGGGGGAGCGTGAGAGCAGCAGGCGCCATCACCCGTGGGGCCGGCTGGGCGCCGGGTCATGAGGAATGGCTGTCCCTGACCCCGCCCGCTCCCTGAGGGCGGGTCCTGCGGGCCTCGCCAGGGGCTGGTCATCCTGTTAAGACTCCAGACTCCCCCAGCTGGCCGGCGTGGCTCAGGGGCTGAGTGTTGACCTAGGAACCAGGAGGTCCGGGTTCCATTCCCGGCCGGAGCACAGGCCCTTTCGGGCTCCATCCCCAGTAGGGGGCGTGCAGAAGGCAGCCCATCCATAGTTCTCTCTCATCACGAGTGTTTCTCTCTCTCTCCCTCTCTCCCTTCCCCTCTGAAATCAATAAAATAGATTTTTTTTTAAAAACTGCAGATTCCCCTCCATGGAGGCCAGGGACCCAGATGGAGCGCCCACCGCAGGGCCCCGGCTGGGAGGTGGTAATGACCTCGGTGTGGCCGCGGGGACTCAGAGCCCAGTTCCCGTCTGAACTGACCAGATAACATGGTGTTCCTAGGCCCGCGTTCATGTTCGCTCCGCAGACGGTCCCAGAGACCCCGAGGCCCCCGGTGCAGGGCCTGGAGGTGCGTGCCCCCGATGGAGCCAGCACACGGGCCTCGGAGGGGAGCCGCGCTGAGTGGGAACAGCCGTGGCTCCCCGTCCTCGGCCGGCAGCCCAGGGCACACCCCAAAGGAGGGAAGGGGGGCAGGTCCTCCTCTCGCCTGGGTGTTTGGGAAACGCGATTGATCCCGTTACAGGAAGGAGTCTCCTCGTGGGGGAAACCGGTGTGTCCGTCTCCGGCTTCCACAGCAAAGAGGCGAACTTGGGAGGACGTGACGAGCCACGAGGGACCAAGTTCCTCCTCTGAACCAGGGGCGGTCAGTGCAGAACACCCGTTCTACCGCAGGGCGTGCGCGGAATTGAAAATTACTATCGGAGCTCTTCCGGGATCAAATGAGAACGCAGAGGGGAATATTGTGTTGTTTGCCCAAAATAAACAACACCTCCGGCACATTTTCGGATTTATTTTAATCTTGAATGAACTATGTGTAATATTTTACAGATCTCTGGGTTGCTCAGTCTCCAGTGGTAGGAACAATAGCAAAGGCCATAAATACGCCGGGATGGGTCTCCTCTGACGAAGAACACAAAAGCTAAAAACACTTGGAGTCGGACACTCACACAGCCAGACTCCGCAAAGACAGGAAGTGCATGGCGAGGGTGTGCCCAGCCCCTGTGAACTCGGACGGGCCACTGAGCGTCGAGGGGGAGGGTTGAGGGGTACTGGTTGGCTCCCTGGTCCCTGGAACAGGCAGGGGTGTTGATAAAAGGGGGTGGTCCCACACGGCTGCTCGCACCCCGTGAACACGGCTCCCTGAGGTCTCAGGGCCCTCACCTGCATCCAAACATGCACGTGGCTGTGAGGGAATCGGGGAGGCTTTTGCCTCTAGGATAGAAGCGAAGTCTGTACGAGAGATCCTCACATTGAACTGTCTGGGGCCAAAATTCTCCAGGTTTACAGGGGCAAAAGCCGGGTCAGCTTTCTGTCCATCTGGCACCGTGGGGAAGGGGTGCACGTAGTAGGCTTCTCCCACTTCGGCTTTGGAAGTGGATGCCTCAGCCTGGGTGCCCCAGCCGTAACTGCCTCAGCCATGGTGCCTCAGCCGTGGGTGCCCCAGCCGTAACTGCCTCAGCCGTGGGTGCCTCAGCCTGGATCCCCAGCTGTAACTGCCTCAGCCTGGGTGCCCCAGCTGTAACTGCCTCAGCCATGGTGCCTCAGCCTGGGTGCCCCAGCTGTAACTGCCTCAGCCATGGTGCCTCAGCCTGGGTGCCCCAGCTGTAACTGCCTCAGCCTGGGTGCCTCAGCCATGGGTGCCTCAGCCTGGGTGCCTCAGCCATGGGTGGGGGCCTGGCAGTCCCGTCTGGGGAAGGGCTCTCAGGCTCACCCACGTCCCCCTGCCTCACGCGAAAGTGACTCCTTCTGCTTCTTTCAGCATGTGAGCCTGCGTCTCCCAGTGGCTCTCCCATTGGTCAGAGGGGTGAGAAATGAAGCCATTTCCCCCCATTTTTCCCCCAAGAAAAGGGGGTTCTGCTTCAGCATCGGCCACCGTGGAGATTTAAGAGAAACGGGATTTGTACTGCAGGACGTGGGAATGGTAACTCAGAGTGGAAACATAGCTATGAACAGCTCATGTGTTCACACAGAGTCCTCTGCTGTGACAACAGGAGACGGACACGGGCATGTTTCTTCCAAAGCTGGGCGTGGGCGTGGGGGTGGGGGTGTTGCTAAGGATACAAGCATTTTAAGAAAAAAACTTACTCTTCCCATGAAACGGAAACTGTTTTTCTCAAACATCTCTTATGAATACTAACAGAAGAAAATCTACACACATACCTAATATCCCAAAGGCATTTTTGAATCTCAGGAAAATGGCGTTTCTTTTTTTATTTAGCTTATCAACATTTAAAAAAAAAAAAAACTGCAGCTGAAACCGGTGTGGCTCAGTGGATAGATCGTTGGCCTGCAGACTGAAGGGTCTCAGGTTCGATTTCCAGTCAAGGGCATGTATCTTGCTTGTGGGCACATCCCCAATAGGGGGCGTGCAGGAAGTGGCTGATTGATATTTCTCTCTCATCGATGTTTCTCTCTCTCTCCCGCTTCCTCTCTGTAAAAAAGCAATAAAATGTATTTTTAAAAAACTGCAATTTATTTCCTCTAGTTCCACACACTCTGTTAATTTTTTAATGTTCATAAAAAACATCATTGATTTTTTTTAAGTCAAGTTTAATAGCATTTTAGTGTCAGAGTTTTTGTCAATAAAAGGCATGCCTTAGAACTGATGTTAGCTTCCATGTATCAGAGTTGAAACTAAAGGTACGTTCGGTGGGGTCTCTCTCTGGATCGGTGTGAAGTTTCATGGACCGCTAAGCTCATTTCACTTTTGAGGGAAGAAAAAGGGGACTTTAAAATAAAAATGTGACGTCGGAGCATCCACTTCTCAGGTTTCTAAATAACAATCCTCACCTCCCCGCTGGCTCTGGACTTTTCCTCTCTAGCAACCAAGGGGCTTCTTGGCCATCGCAGGTGCGTGTGGGGTTGGCTGGAGGTTGACACAATATACGTGCTGTTTGCAGCCACAACACAAACAGGCTGTGTGGCCTCTGACCTCTAGAAAGACATCCATCCGGGCCACTGGCCCGCGGTGTGCAGGGCGGGCGGTGGGCACAGAGCGGAGATTTCACACGAGGACGCCCGGGCATGGCTTCCCCCCCGGCTGCACGGGACACCCTCCGCGCGGGGCGCCCTCCCCAGGGCAGCAGCCTGGGTGCCGTTGCACAGCGCCCTCCTGAGGGAGCCGGCGGGGAGGCTGCCAGCCCACCTTCCCAGACGAGGTGCCCCGCGGGGCTGCTCCGCGCCCTGGACGCGCGTCTGCTCCACCGCAGCCCGGACAGAGAAGGAGGGGCCGCAGGTCCCGGCACCGCCCTCCGCGGAGTCCGCTTCCGTCCCCTCCGCTCAGGCCCGCGGGGCCGGCGGCCTCGCCTCAGTTCACGTTGGACCGGCCGGCGGCTCAGCGGTGGGCGCTGACCTCGAACCAGGGGTCAGGGCACAGCCCGGGCTGTGGCTCCATCCCCAGACGGGCGCGCAGGAGGCGGGCGGGCCATGGATGGCCCTCTCCCTCTCCCTTCCTCTCTGAGATCAATAAAGACATATTTAAAACAAAAGTTCCTGCTGCACCTTACACCGGAAACCAGGAGGAGCGGAAGCCGGTGCGGCTCCGTGGACAGAGCGTCGGCCTGCGGACTGGAAGGCGCGGGTTGGATTCCGGTGGACGGCATGACCCTGGGTTGCGGTCACGTCCCCAGAAAAGGCAGGAGAATGAGCCCCGCGTGCGGCGGGGCCCCAGCCAGCCCGGGCCGGGCTAGTTGATGGGGAGCAGCGGGCGCTCCTCCCGCTTCCTCCAGATGCTGGCCTTGCCGTCCCGCTTGGCCAGGGGCGGGCGGCCGCGCTTCCCGGTGGGCGAGGCGCCGGCCCCCGGGTCCCGCCTGCCCGCGGGGGGCTCCGGGGCGCGCGGCTCCGGGCGCGGGGCTCCGGGGCGCGCGGCTCCCCGCCGGGGTGCCCGGGGCCGGGGTGCCCGGGGCCGGGGTGCCCGGGGCCGGGGTGCCCGGGGCCGGGGTGCCCGGGGCCGGGGTGCCCGGGGCCGGCGGGCTCCGGCGCGGGGTCCTCGGGCGAGCACACGGCCGTGCCGCTCTCGCTGGAGCTCAGGTCGGGGTCGGCGGGGCCGGGGCGGGCGCCGCGCAGGAAGGTGCGCTCCCGCTCCCGCTCCGGGCGGCGGGCCGGCGGCTCCCGCAGGTCCACGCCCGAGTCCAGGCTGGCGTCGTGGTCGTGGCCCCGGCCGCGCCGGCCGCGCCGCAGGTCGATGAAGGAGTGGCGCACGGGCGCCACGGGCGTGCCGTCCAGGGACACGAACCAGGCGCGCGGGTGCGGGCAGGGCCGGGCGCGGCTCAGCTCCCGCAGCGTCTGCTCCGACACGCCCTGCAGCTCGGCGGCCGCCAGGGGCGCCACCACCACGGCGCGGCTCAGCGTGCCCGGCACCGACACGGACTCCAGCAGGCTGCGCGGGTAGCGCGCCCAGGCGGCGCCGGGCGGCGGGCTCGGCGGGCCCCCGCGGGGCGCGCCCTCCTCCGGGCCGGCGGGCGGGCGCCCGGGCGCCGTGGGCAGCGTCTGGGCGAAGGGCCCGCGGCCGCCCGGCTCGCCCTTCCGGGGCAGCGTGGCCGCCTTGGCCTCCGGGCGCGGCTCCGGGGCCAGCAGGTCCGCGCTGCGCAGCAGGGCCAGCGGGGGGCGGTACAGGTGCAGCAGCGGCTCGGGGAGCCCGTACCCCTCCGCGTACCCCTCCGCGTACCCCTCCGGGGGGCCCGCCAGGAGCCTCAGCGCCTCCTCCGGGGCGTCCCCCCGCGGGGGCTCCGGGGCCGGCGTGGGGGCTCCGGGGCACGCCTTGGGGCGGGCGGACAGGAAGGAGACGTCCTCCCCGTAGAGTCTGAAATGGTCCTGGGTCCTCACCACGGCCAGGCGCCCCTCTGGGCCGGGCCGCTGCGGGCTGCGCGCGGGGCTCCTGGCGCCGCGGGGCGCGGCCCGGTCCTCGGCCCTCAGGGCGGCCTGGACGGAGCCGATGTGGTGGATGTGCGTGGTCGACGTGGTCTGGTCCCTGCGGAGGGCCTCCAGCTTGGTGATGGTCCTGTCTCTCTTCTGGGGGGGCCCACACCTGTCCCTGGGGAGAGAGGGGGGCCACAGTGTTCACCAGCCCGCAGCATGGACATCTAAAAGCAGACTAGAGGATCACAAGAATCAAGTCAAAATTTGGGATGCAAAAAAGCAAAAAACACTCAACAGGAAAAACAAAAAGAAAAAAGAATCCAAAAATGTTAAGATAGTGTAAGAAGCCTCTGGGACAACTTTAAGTGTACCAACATCAGAATTATGGGGGTGCCAGAAGAAGAGAGAGAGCAAGATACTGAAAACCTGTTTGAAGAAATAGTGACGGAAAACTTCCTCCACCTGGTGAAAGAAATGGACTTACAAGTACAGGAAGTGCAGAGAACCCCAAACAAGAGGAATCCAAAGAGGACAAGACACATCATAATTAAAATGCCAAGGGCAAAAGACAAATATTAAAAGCAGAAAGAGAAAAACAGTTAATTACCTACAAGGCACCCATACGATTGTCAGCTGTTTTCCCAACAGAAACTATACAGGCCAGACGGGAATGGCAACAAATATTCAAAGTGATGAATAGCAAGAACCTACAACCAAGATTACTCTACCCAGCAAAGCTATCATTTAGAATTGAAGGTCAGGTAAAGAGCTTCCCAGATAAGAAGAAGCTAAAGGAGTTCATCACCACCAAACCAGAATTATATGAAATGCTGAAGGGGGTTCTTTAAGAAGAGGAAGAGGAAGAAGAAGAAAAAGATAAAAATTATGAACAACAAATAGGTATCCATCAACAAGTGAATCTAAAAACTAAGGGAATAAAAACTCAGATGAACAGAATAAACTGGGGACTTTAATAGAATCAGCGGCACAGAGAGGGAGTGGACTGACAGTTCTCGGGGGGAAAGGAGAATGAGGGGTTTGGGAAGAGATTGAACAAAAACTGTACACCTATGGCTGAGGACAGGGGGGGGAGGTAAGAGAAGGTGGGGGGGGACTGGTGGAGGGGAGATATGGGGGGGAAAGGAGAAACAATTGTAATAATCTGAATAAAGGTTTATTAAATTTTAAAAAAAAAACCACCGACTCCCAAGCCCACACTTTGTAACACACAGCACACGCACAGCACACGTGGCCACCCCATAATGGCGGGCGTGGGGTGTGCACGCACGCACGCCCGCACACGCGTGTACCTGCAGTAGCACAGCAGCACCGCGAAGAAGCCGACGACGATGACGACGGTGCCCCCCAGGATGGCCGTCAGGAACGCCGTGTGGTAGGCAGCCATGTCCCCGGGCTCTCCACCAGCGCCCGGGCCTGGGTTCGGTATAAACAGCAAACAGCAAACAGGAAATGCACCCTTTATCGTCGTTATTCTGTACCCCTCGCCGGAGGCTGTTTTCTCTCTGGTTTTCAGAGAGAACTCTCCTTAAGGTTCATTATAAACACAGACCCCTATGGCCACGTGCCCCTCGGCAGCTCCGGCTGGGTGACCAGGCCACCTCAGCTGGACAGGAGCTCTCACTGCCTCCCAGGTGTGCGGAGAGAAGGGGTCGCCACACCCAAGTCCCCGTTTAGAAGCCAGAGAACGGACTCAGAGGGGCCGGTGCCTATGTCAGGCGCCCGCCGGGTCAGTGCCTGCAAAGGCAGTGCCACTCAGGCTGCCCGGTGTCCGCAGGCATAGCGCCCCGGCGGGACTCGCTGGCGGCAGTGGCGGCAGCAGCAGCAGCAGCAGCAGGAGCAGCGACGGGATCCGGGTCAGCCCTGGGGGACCTCCCTTCTCCTCCAGCACCTGATTGACCCGCAGGCTTCTCCCACATGAAGCGCAGACCGAACATCCGTCTCAGAAAAGCACTCAGCTCTTACAACTCCTAATGGTCAGCGTGTAAGCTGGCTGTTTCCGGTGTCTGTTTAGGGGAAGGGACTCTTCTCTCTAAGCCACAAAGTAAACTGATGAACGGAGCAGATCCAGGCGTGGAAGCAGGGAACAGGTCTGGGGTCTCGGGGGGCAGGTGGGGGGCGGTGGGCGGGCTCCTCTTTATAGCAGGTAGATTAACTAGAAGAGAGCTAATCAACCAAAGAAAGACCTGTGTGCACACATGCAGGGTCCACGTAGAAAACGGACAATGGGGGGTGGAGGCTGGGTCAGGGGACAGCGGTGGGCTGGAAGGGGTCAATGGTAGAGAAAAGGGGACATATGCAATACTTTTCACAATAAATAATTATTTAAAATATAAATAAATAGCCCTGGCTGGTTTGGCTCAATGGATAGAGCGTCAGCCTGTGGACTGAAGGAAGGGTCCTGGGTTCAATTCGGGTCAAGGGCACATGTCCAGGTTGTGGGCTCGATCCCCAGTGGGGGGCGTGCAGGAGGCAGCTGATCAATTATTCTCTCATCATTGAGGTTTCTATCCCTCTCTCCCTCTCCTTTCCTCTCTGAAATCAATAAAAATCATACATATTAAAAAATGAGGTAAAGTAAAAATAAAATAAAAATAAAAATGCCAAAAAAAGAGGAATACTTCTCTATAAAAGCCCAGTGCTCCGCATGCAGTTTTTATCAGACATGAAATGATGCTGAGTTACATTAAATATTAACTGCTCTTTCTCATCAATATTTCATTCCATTTGCAGACCGGGAGCGGGTGAGGCCGGACAGCTGGCAGGGCGGCGGCGTGCTATTTCGCCTCGTGAGGAACAAAAGCCGCCCCCTGTGGTTTCTGAATAATCATGCGTCAGCACTGAGGTCAGAACGGAGAACAGCCCTCTGACCTGCAAGGCGAAGGGCTACCGTTCTCCTGGGCGACGACCACGTTCCAGCTTCACTTACAAAAAGTCCTGTCCGGTTTTATCAACCAATGTCACCCCAATGAATTCAATTTTTAAAATGTCCTGTTACTGGAGCAGTTTAAAATGCAAAGACTACCGAAACCGGTTTGGCTCAGTGGTAGAGCATCAGTCTGTGGACTGAAGGGCCCCAGGTTTGATTCCGGTCAAGGGCATGTACCTTGGTTGCAGGCACATCCCCAGTGGAGGGGGTGCAAGAGGCAGCTGGTCGATGTTTCTAACTCTCTACCCCTCTCTCTTCCTCTCTGTAAAAAATCAATAAAATATATTTTAAAAAAATAAAAATAATAAAATGCAAAGACTGTCAATAAAACTATGGAAGTTAAAACCTTTTTTTTTTTTTTAATTTCGGAAAAACTGAGTCTTCAAATGAGCAGGCAGCAGGATGGGGCGACGACAGGGCGCCGCGGAGAAAGGCGTGTGGGCGTCACCGGGTCCCGGTGGGTGTGTGTCCTGGTCAGCGTGGGTGCTGAGACGGTCCTGCCCGGCCTGGAACAGCCGCCATCAGTCGCCTCCCAACCGGGAGCGGACACTGGGCCAGGATCAGCTCTGGCACCGAGTGGGTGGAGGGATGACCTACACGTTCAACTTTCACTCTCCCCACCCAAAACACCGCAGAGCGGCACTGACGGTTTTGCTTTGCTTTGTTTTTGGAGATGCAAATCCACGATTACAGGAGGAGGAAGGAGACAAGAGCAGATGCCGGGAAGTTGCCTTGGCAACACTGGCTGCAGGGAAGCCAGGAGGCAACTCCATTTATGGCCCCACCCACATCCACACCCCCACCCAAGTCCCGCCCCACCCCTGCCCGTCCCCACCCCCGTCCCCAGGCTCCCCCCAGCCCCACCCCCAAGTCCCCCCCACCTCCGTCCTCACCCCAGGGCAGCAGGCCTGTGCAGCCAGCCCACCTGCAGCAGGCTGGAAGGCCTTTCTTTCTTTAAGAAGAGTTATGCTGGCCAGCTGGCTCCTACATTGAGCATCTGCCCCCTGGCGGTCAGTGCACATCATAGCTACCGGTCAAAGTGTCTTTCCCCTGGTGGTCATCCTGCATCATAGCTACTGGTCAGACGGTTAAACGTTCAGAAGTCGCTTAGGCTTTGATACATACAGATGTTCTATATCTATGGATGGTGTTCCCTGAGAAAGTTTAACTCCTGCCACAGCTACAGCTACTGAAAAGACCTGGCTCACTTAAAAAAAAAGAAGGGGGGGGGGAGAGAGGGAGAGAGAGGGAGACAGAGAGAGGAGAGAGAGAGGGGAGAGAAAGAGAGAGAGAGGGAGAGAGGAGAGAGAGAGAGGGAGAGAGAGGGAGGGAGAGAGGAGAGAGAGGAGAGAGAGGGGGAGAGAGAGGGAGGAGAGAGGACAGACTTGGCCTGAACAAACCTCACATTCACCAGCTCTCGTAGCTAAGAGACCTGGGAGTTCGCGGAGCCTAACTCTTCTTATGGGGAGCGCGCTGAGGCGAGGTCAGCTGTGTCAGGGCCAGTGGCTGCGGGCTGTGCTTTTCACACGGCTTGTCCCACGTCCACGTACCTCGCGTTCCCGGGAGGGGTGCCGCCATCCAGTAGCCCAGGTGCGGTGCGTCGTACGTCCACACTAAGTGGCTGTCGGCCTCCCTGACCGTCCCCCGGCCATGGCTGACCCAGGCGCCTGGAGAGGAGGGCAGGGAAAGGCCGCCCTCAGCCTCCGCAGAGCGACGAGCGTTTGCTGGGGGCCGTGCACAGAGTGCAAGCAGGGCTCTCGCAAAAATGATGAAAACCGGAGCCATAGGTCACCGTGGGATACTATATACATCGCAGGTTACATGGTACTATAGCACCGATGGTGATAACACGTTCAATAAATAATGTGAAAGATTCGTCACAACTGCACAAAGTAAAACCATTGCAAAGACATACGAAATGTTTCAGGAAATCATAACTCTTCCAAATAACGTTTAAATGGTGCCTGCTGAGCCCGACCAGCATGGCTCAGTGGTTGAGTGTTGACCTATGAACCAGGAGGTCATGGTTTAATTCCAGGTTAGGGCACATGCCTGGGTTGTGGGCTCGATCCCCAGTATGGGGTGTGCAGGAAGCAGATCAGTGATTCTCTCTCATCATCGATGTTTTATCTCTCTCTCCCTCTGCCTTCCTCTCTGAAATCAGTAAAAATATATTTAAACTAGAGGCCCGATGCACAAAGATTCCTGCAAGTATGGGCCTTCCTTCCCCTGGCTGCCGGCACCACCTGCGCTCCTACCCAGAGGCCCTGAGCTGCTCGGGTGCTGCAGAATGCCTACATCATCATTATGGCGATGATGCAAGTGTCCTGCCCCACCCCCAGCCACGAGGTGCCTGCATATGCAAATTAATCCACCATCTTAGTTGGGTTAATTTGCATACTCACTCCCAATTGGCTGGTGGGCATTGTGGAGGTATTGTCAATTTGCATCTTTCTCTTTTATTAGAGTAGATTGTGCCTATTGAGATTATCTTAAGGATGTGAATCATGAAATCCGACTTGATCAGCAGGGGGTTGGTTATCTATCGCCTGTTCTGGGATTCCCATTAAGCAGGGACAGCGTATGCAGTGTTTGCATACATGATACATCAACCCAAAAAAATTCTTTTCGCTGGAAGGTGCAGTAGAGAAAAAGGCCTTCACCAGAAGGAATCATCTGAAATCAGGGCTCAAAACAAGATCTTCTTCCAAGTGATTGCAAGCAACCTCTCTTTCCCCGTGCAGGAAACTGAGGCCCAAGGAAGGGGTGTGCTCAGACACAACCCTGGTGAGAGGGCTGCTTTCCATGTGTGGCCTTTTGCGTTACTCTTTTCTCCACAGAAACAGACTTCCCTCGTCAAGGACACTCAGCGAAGCTGCAACGAGCGTGCAGGGACCTGCTCCCGAGGCCAGACCTCACCGGGAGGCGGCCAGACCGCCTCGCGCGCGCGTTACGCACCTGTGTCCATGTCGAAGGTCCAGGCGGGCACGTGGTCCCCCGCCCGCACGTCCTGGGTGTGGAGGAGGGGGAGCGAGAGCTGCACGGAGCCGGCCACCTGGAGCTCCCGGCCCCCCGAGTACATCTTCACACACACCGCGGCCAGGGGCGTCAGCTCGATGCTCTCGAAACCTGGGAAGACGCCACTTCTTAAATCTCACCCAAAGCCCGGGTTGTAGCTCCACACGAGCACTGTTCTCAGGGCCCCGATACCCGTTCCTCTCCATCAGCCAGAGCTCTCCGTTCTGGACACGCCTCACCCATTCGATGAGGATGGACAGAAGGCCACACATAAAGGACGTGTGCCAATTTCTCTAAGTCCCATCTCCATTTTTAAATATGTCACTTACTTATTTATTTTCAATGTATTTTATGGATTTCAGAGCGGGAGGGAGAGGGAGAGATAGAAACATCCAGGATGAGAGAGAATCATGGATCAGCTGCCTCCTGCACGCCCCCTGCTGGGATGGAGCCCACAACCCAGGTATGTGCCCTTGGCTGGAATCGAACCTGGGACCCTTCAGTCCACAGGCCGACGCTCTATCCATGGAGCCACACCAGCCAGGGCTAAATGTAGTTTTTAATTGACAGAGTCACACAACAATCATTACTACTGTCTTCCACCCCTGCCTTGACCCCTTTTAGTAAGGTGACCAGTCGTCCCGCTTTTGGCGGGACAGTCCTGATTTTTAACCATTTGTCCCGCATCCCACAGCATCTTAAAGTCCCGATTTTTGGAAAGATTCTTTCCAAAAATGTGGAGTGTTTTAAAGCCCGGCTGGTCACCTTACTTCTAGGAAAGGCCTGGAACAGGGTATGCAGGGGCTTTGCGTACTTTCTCCCCGGCCTGCGAGGGGCGGAGTGCTGTGGCCTCTTCACCACAGGCCGTGTTTCCGAGGTGCCACCCCCGCCCCAGAGCTTCAGCGAGCGCCCAGCCACACCGCCCTGACGGCTCTGACCAGGGCCCGGCTCTCCCCTCTCCAGACGCCTCCCGTTGGGGGAGGCAGCACCTGCTTTGCTCAGCGTGACTCCGGCCGCGTACGGGGCGCCGCCCGTCCTCAGGAACTGCCGCAGCACCGTCAGGTAGCCCGTCACGTTGCTGAAGTGGTGGCTGTCCGGGAGGGCGATGGAGGCTTTGGCAAACTGGACGCGGGGCTGGGACTTGGCCTCTGGAAGAAAGAACAGCCCGGTCCACGTAGGTTCGCGCCTCGGTCAGGAGCCACGGGGCTGCCACGGCCAGGAGCCACGGGGCCGCCACGGCCAGGAGCCACGGGGCCTGTCACGGCCAGGAGCCACGGGGCCGCCACGGCCAGGAGCCACGGGGCCGCCACGGCCAGGAGCCACGGAGTCCGCCACAGCCAGGAGCCACGGGTCCAGGAGCCACGGAGTCCGCCACAGCCAGGAGCCGTGGGGCCGCCACGGCCAGGAGCCACGGGGCCTGTCACGGCCAGGAGCCACGGGGCCGCCACGGTCAGGAGCCACGGGGCTGCCTCGGTCAGGAGCCACGGGGCCTCCACGGTCAGGAGCCACGGGGCTGCCTCGGTCAGGAGCCGCGGGGCCTCCACGGCCAGGAGCCACGGGGCCGCCACGGCCAGGAGCCGGGGGCCCGCCACGGCCAGGAGCCACGGGGCCACCACGGCCAGGAGCCACGGGGCCGCCACGGCCAGGAGCCACGGGGCCGCCACGGCCAGGAGCCACGGGGCCGCCACGGTCAGGAGCCACGGCCAGGAGGGGGCCCGTACCGCCCGCCGAAAGGGGCGCTGCGCTTACCGGCCAGCTTTCCGGTGATCAGAACGGTGTCGTCAAACAGCCAGATGTTCGCCGGGCTTTGCGGGAACAGCGAGAGGGTCAGCGACGAGTAGACTGTGAGATACAGCACACGGGAGAGGCGTTATGGAGGCTGGGGGCGGGGAGGGGGTGGGGAGGGCAGGGGGGTGGGAGGGGAGGGGGCGGGAGGGGGCAGGGGGGGCGGGGGAGGCAGACACGCAGGGCGCTGCGCCAGCCAGCGAGGCCCTAAAAAGGGGTGAACAGCAAACTGGGAGCCAAGCCGGCCGGGCTGAGCGCCCACCTAGGAGCCAGGAGGGGCTAGATCCCCAGTGTGGGCATGCAGGAGGCAGCCAGTCCACGACTCTCTCGTTACGGATGTTTCCCCCTCTCTCCCTCTCCCTCCCTCTCGGAGGTCAGTAACGTACATCTGAAAGGAGAGGAAACCCTTAGAAACTCCTTTCTAACGCCCGTCACACGATCACACCGACACCCGCTGCGTTCCCGGAGCCCGGCCCCAGGAGGGCGGCTGGGATGCCCCCCCCACCGCCTCCCCTGCCCCCGCGCTCACTGGGCATGCGGCCGGGCCGCCAGGCCAGCGGGGCCAGCACGTAGCCCAGCTTGTGGGCCAGGACGGTGAGGCCCAGGCCGGGCGCGAAGGGCACGCGGAGCAGCGCGGCGCCCCGGCCGCCCGTCACCGTGGCGATGGTCCTCGTGTGGTTGACGAACACCTCGACGGCCGCCCGATGCAGCGGCTGGCGGCTGACCACGTCATTCACCTGCACCTTCAGCGAGAACGCCGGCCCTGCAGGGGGGAGCGGCCTCAGCCCCGAGCGTGTCCCTGGAGCCAGCACCCTCCCCATCCCACTCCCACCCGAGCCCCTCACACCCCCACCTTCCGGCCCTGTGGGGGGGGCGGCCTCAGGCCCCGAGCCTGTCCCTGCGTCAGCACCCTCCCCATCCCACCCCCACCCGAGCCCCTCACACCCCCACCTTCCAGCCCTGTGGGGGGGGGGCGGCCTCAGGCCCCGAGCCTGTCCCTGGAGCCAGCACCCTCCCCATCCCACCCCCACCCGAGCCCCTCACACCCCCACCTTCCAGCCCTGCAGGGGGGAGCGGCCTCAGGCCCCGAGCCTGTCCCTGGAGCCAGCACCCTCCCCATCCCACCCCCACCCGAGCCCCCACTCCCCTCACACCCCCACCTTCCGGCCCTGTGGGGGGGGGGGCGGCCTCAGGCCCCAAGAGCCTGTCCCTGCGTCAGCACCCTCCCCATCCCACCCCCACCCGAACCCCACTCCCCTCACACCCCACCTTCCGGCCCTGCGGGGGTGGGGGGGGGGGAGCGGCCCCAGGCCCCAAGAGCCTGTCCCTGCATCAGCACCCACACACCCCACTCCCCGCAGGAGCTCGGGGACAGGACGTGAGGTGGAGCCACAGGAGGAGGAGGACAGCCTCCCGGCAGGTTCCATTCTTCCTGAACTCCACACATTGGGGGTCACGGAGCCCTCTGTAAGGTCACGGGCTCCCTTCATTCCATCCCCCATCCCATCCTCCATCCCCTTCATTCCATCCTCCACCCCCTTCATTCCATCCTCCACCCCCTTCTGGCCATCCTCACATCCTCAGTCCATTCTCCATCCCCTTCATTCCATCCTCCATCCTGCATTCCATCCTCCATCCCTTCATTCATCCTCCACCACCCCGTCAGTCCATCCTCCATCCCCTTCAGTGATCCACCTCCATACCCTTCATTCCATCCTCCATCCTTCATTCCATCCGCCATCCCTTCATTCCATCCTCCTCCTTCATTCCATCCCCATCCCCTTCATTCCATCCTCCACCCCCTTCATTCCATCCTCCATCCTTCATTCCATCCTCCATCCTTCATTCCATGTCCCATCCCCTTCATTCCATCCTCCATCCCCTTCATTCCATCCTCCATCCTTCATTCCATCCTCCATCCTCCATCCCCTTCATTCCATCCTCCATCCCCTTCATTCCATCCCCCATCCCATCCTCCATCCCCTTCATTCCATCCTCCATCCCCTTCATTCCATCCTGCATCCTTCATTCCATCCTCCATCCCCTTCATTCCATCCTCCACCCCCTTCATTCCATCCTCCATCCCCTTCATTCCATCCTCCACCCCCTTCATTCCATCCTCCACCCCCTTCATTCCATCCTCCATCCTTCATTCCATCCTCTATTTCCTTCATTCCATCCTCCATCCCCTTCATTCCATCCTCCATCCCCTTCATTCCATCCTCCATCCTTCATTCCATCCTCCATCCCCTTCATTCCATCCTCCATCCTTCATTCCATCCTGCATCCTTCATTCCATCCCCCATCCCCTTCATTCCATCCCCCATCCCCTTCATTCCATCCTCCACCCCTTCATTCCATCCTCCATCCCCTTCATTCCATCCTCCATCCCCTTCATTCCATCCTCCACCCCTTCATTCCATCCTCCATCCCCTTCATTCCATCCTTCATCCCTTTTCCATCAAAACCCCTTCACGTGTTATCTCAGCTGTAAGTGCCGTTCGCATCAGAAAATCGTAAAGTGGTTGGAGGCAAGGGGCCAGGCCAACTGGAAAATTCAAAGGCCCGACGTTCCCAGAACACGGTTCCCCAGCCTGATCGATACGCTAATCAATACGTTAATCCATCAGCGGTCTCCACTAGGGCTGGAGCGACCGCAACACTAGAGAGAAGCCATTCACTCCTCCTCGGACGTCTGTTCCAGAAAATAAACAGGATTCCGTCTGCGGTGCAGCAGCATTCATTCCTGAAAAGAGAGTCTGTCCAAGACTCTCCACTTAGCGGACAACCACAGGGGAGCCCGCGGACAGTGGACGGAGTCCGATCCACGTGCGTTCACGGGAGGACGCGGGGGAAAGCCCTCGGAGGGGCCTCTGGGTCAGAGGAGGCACTGCGGGGGGCGGGGGGCAGGCGGGCGCAGCGAGGTGACGGGCCAGTTCTGTGTTCCAATCAGTGCTGGTCACAGGGGACACCATCTGTCAGACAGTACGTGAGGGGGCACCCATGGGCGTGTTTTACCTCGAAGGGAGAAAGAACCGGCGAGGTGGGAATGGGTGGAGGGGTGGGCACAGATGTCCCAGCTGAAGGTAACCTTGGTCAAAGCTGAGACACGCACGGGTTTTTCATTTGTCTTCATTGTGGAAAGATGTCCCCTTCATTCCTGCCCTTTACCCACCATCGCTGTGTCCATGGGCTATGATATATGCATACAAGTCCTTTGGTTAATCTAAATACTACTTTGTTTGCTTCCTATAGTGTTCACATTTCCCAGAATAAAAAGTTTAAAAATATGTATCGGTGAGATGTACAATCAAAATATGTTTATAATACCGTAAAAGCACACTTTCCCTCCGCGAGGGCATTCACTGCCCCGGGAGACCACTGGATCCCCCTTGTCGGAGGATCTGGGGCGGAACCCCCGCCCCCGGGCCTCACGCCCCCCGGCCGGCCGGCAGAGTTAGCATGACTCTGGCCTCAGCCACCAGCTCCGGGACCTCGCACATACGTGTTCCTCCCGGCCACACATCCGTGTTAACAGCTGAGCCTGGTGCATCCGAGACCCCGGAGCGGCCCCCTCCCCCCGGGAGAAAACCCTGCCGAGGCCTCCGCCTGGCCTTCCCCCCACTGCTCCTCGGAGGGCGCTGGGTGAGGCAGTGAGAGCACGGACACTCGTGGCTCTTAAACCCCGGTTTCTCTAAATCTCACAGCCTGCTGTCCCGTTTACTTCCTGTTTTATTTTAATCCTCACCCAAATGCGTGGGTTTGAGAGAGAGAGGCAGGGAGAGGAGGGGGGAGGAGAGAGGAACATCGATGTGAGAGAGGAACATCCATTCGCTGCCTCCCACGCGCCCTGAGGGGAACCGAGCCAGCGGCCTCTGGGCGCACAAGACGCCGCCCAAGGAGGGGCCACGCCGAATCCTTCTAACCCCATTCTTCGTTCTCACGCCCAGACAGACGTCGTCTCCGAATCGGAAAACCCCGAGAGAGGGCACTCTCCAGGGCCTGGGGCTCGTTTCTCCGCTGTTGGCGCAGCCCCCCCCCCCCCCCCCCCCCCCCCCTCCCCCCCCTGTGTGTGCCATCGCTTTCTAAATTTCACCGAGAAAAGCCCTTCGCTTCTGCACACACCGTCCGGAGCATCGGCACCCACCGGAGGCAGAGCCATTCCGAGGCTAATGCCTCCCGGCCGTAAGAGGATTATCGGTGCTCAGGGGCCAGAATTTTCCAGGGGCGGGACTCTGGTGTTGGTACCATCAGTCGGCTCTGGTCAGCATAAGACCAACACTGACATCAGCTAAAATCCAAAGTTTATACATGTATTTATAACCTCTACTTAAAAACACTTCCACCTGACATTTCCTTGTTTTGCTATATCCCCTGCTAAATTCCAAGAAGAATTTCACAAGGGGTTACATCAGCGAAAGGGACCCTGGTGCCAGTATTTTTAAAAATATATTTTTATTGATTTCAGAGAGGAAGGGACAGGGAGAGAAACATCAATGATGGAAGAGAATCATTGATCGGCTGCCTCCTGCACACCCCACCCTGGCGGATCAAGCCTGCAACTTGGGCCTGTGCCCTGACCAGGAATCAAACTGTGACCTCCTGGTACAAAGGTTGAAGCTCAACCACTGAGCCACACTGGTTGGGCTGACACCAGCATTCTTGTCCATTCATTCATTCATTCATTCATTCATCTATTTATTCATCCATTCATCCATCCATTCATTAATCCATCCAACTATCCATCATCCATCCATCCATTCACTTATCCATCCATCCATCCATCCATCCATCCATCCATCCATCCATCTATCCATTCATCCCATCCATCCATCCATCCATTCATTCATCCATCCATCCATTCATTCAACAAACCCGTGCTTACCTAGGCACACCAGGTGTTCTTCTAGGTATTAAAGAAATACAGAACAACCTATATATCAATATATATATAAAAGGCTCATGTGCCAAGTGTCCCCTTGGTTTGACTGGGAGACCGGGAGTTCACTCACTATGACATGAGCTGACCACCAGGGGGTGGTGGAGAACGAAGGAAAGGAGGCCCCGGCTGGCAGCCCCCATTCAGCCCTGATTGCAGGCAGGCCTAGGACCCTATGTGTGCAGGGACGTTGTGCCCAGCCTGTGGTTTAACACACAGTGCCCAGAACCAAGCGGGTGCTGACATGGAGCTTGTGATCCAGCAGGAAGACGGCTTCTGAGAGCCGAGGGCACGGTGTGCATGGGAGAAACGTTACGGACGGTGCACAGACGGTGGTTCACTCCGGCACCCAGCCAGGATGGAGACACATCGGGGTGCGCCCCCCTGTGGGGTGATCTGGCCGGGAAGCTCCCTGCCTGGCAGGTGGCAGGTTCTGGGTGTCATCCGAGCACCGAAAGGCTACCGGTCCCCTCTGGCCAGGCACAGGCTCGGCCGCAGGCTTGACCCCCAGGGGGAGGCCATGGGGGGGGGGGGAGATCAGGCAACCAGGCCAGCACGATGGGGGCAGTTGGGGGCCCCCAGGCGGCAAGGAGGTGAGCAATTAGGAACCAGCAGGCCCGGAATGTGGGAGGGATGTCCAACCGCGGCTCTCCTGGAGGCCTCAGGCCGGGGACACTGTCCCTTCGCCGTGAAGTGCTGCCTCCCTCACGCCAACACCCCGGCCGACGCCCCAACCGACGCCCCAACGGACGCCCCAGCCGACGCCCCAGCCGACGCCCCAGCCGACGCCCCAGCCGACGCCCCAGCCGACGCCCCAACCGACGCCCCAACCGACACCCCAGCCGACGCCCCAACGGACGCCCCAACCGACACCCCCACCCCAACCAACGCCCCGGCCGACGCCCCGGCCGACGCCCCAGCCGACACCCCAGCCGACGCCCCAACCGACGCCCCAACCGACACCCCAGCCGACACCCCAACCGACGCCCCAACCGACACCCCAACCGACACCCCCACCCCAACGAACGCACGCCCCACCCCGCCGCCCCAACCGACACCCCCACCCCAACCGACACCCCAGCCGACGCCCCAACCGACGCCCCGACCGACACCCCCACCCCAACCGACACCCCAGCCGACACCCCAACGGACGCCCCGGCCGACGCCCCAACCGACACCCAAACGCCCCGACCGACACCCCAACCGAGGCCCCAACCGACACCCCCACCGACACCCTAACCGACACCCCCAACGGACGCCCCAGCCGAACCCCAACGGACGCCCCGCCGACCCCCGACATCCCAACCGACACCCCCACCCCAACCGACACCCCGACACCCCAACCGACGCACCGATGCCCCGACCGACGCCCCAACTGACGCCCCAAATGACACCCCAACCGACGCCCCAACCGACACCCCAACCGACACCCCAGCCGACACCCCAACTGACACCCCGACGCCCCAGCCGACACCCCAAGGGGAGAGCCGCCTCCAGCTCGGCGGGCCTGGCCGGGAGCCGCTTCTGAGGGCAGCAAAGCTCAGGGGGAACCTGTGGGCTCGGCTGGCCCCGGCCGTGGTTCCTTCAGCTCCCGCACCGCAGGGCAGCCTGCGGGCTCCCACCGCCCTGCACACACACAGATGTCCCGGGCCGCGCCTCACACACCCTCCTCACACACCCACACGCACCCTCCTCACACACCCTCCTCACGCATCCACACACACCCCCCTCACGCATCCACACGCACCCTCCTCACGCATCCACACGCACCCTCCTCACGCATCCACACGCACCCCCCTCACCCATCCACACGCACCCTCCTCACACACCCTCCTCACGCATCCACACACACCCCCCTCACGCATCCACACGCACCCTCCTCACGCATCCACACGCACCCTCCTCACACACCCTCCTCACGCATCCACACGCAACCTCCTCACGCATCCACACGCATCCACACACACCCTCCTCACCCATCCACACACACCCTCCTCACACATCCACACACATCCTCACACACCCTCCTCACACACCCTCCTCACCCATCCACACGCACCCTCCTCACACACCCTCCTCACCCATCCACACACACCCTCCTCACACATCCACACACACCCTCCTCACCCTCCTCACACACCCTCCTCACACACCCTCCTCACACACCCTCCTCACGCATCCACACGCAACCTCCTCACGCATCCACACACATCCACACGCAACCTCCTCACACACCCTCCTCACCCATCCACACACACCCTCCTCACACATCCACACACATCCACACACACCCTCCTCACACACCTTCCTCACCCATCCACACACACCCTCCTCACACACCCTCCTCACCCATCCACACGCACCCTCCTCACACACCCTCCTCACACACCCTCCTCACACATCCACACACATCCACACACACCCTCCTCACACACCCTCCTCACCCATCCACACACACCCTCCTCACACACCCTCCTCACCCATCCACACGCACCCTCCTCACACACTCTCCTCACACACCCTCCTCACACATCCACACGCACAGCCACAACCGCTCACTGTTCCCCAGAGATAAACAGAATGGAAACACACTGCAAGCCCAGCCGGCCACACTCCCACACTCTCCCTAGGAACCGGGTGATGGATGTGCCTCCGTCATCCTGCCTTCTCGTCGGTACGTGAGTGGACGGCTCAGACGCCGGCGACCAGGCCTCAGCCCCGGGACAGGCCCCGCGGGAAAGCCCATCCACGGTGCCCCGAGCTGGGACCACGTGGGAGCGTCAGGCACTGCTGAGAGGGATGTGAGGGATGCTCAGAATCGGACAAGTGAGAGCACTGGACAGGGAGAGCACCCCGACGGGTGAGGGCACCCCGACAGGTGAGAGCACCCGACACCTGAGAGCACCCGACAGGGAGAGCACCCCGACGGGTGAGGGCACCCTGACAGGTGAGGGCACCCGATTGATGTGTCTCCGTCCCGGCCAGGTGCCTGGGGTGGCTCTGGTACACTCAGGGCACCCCGACAGGTGAATGAACCCCATGAAGGTGTCTCCACCTGGCGGGGGCCTGGGCCACCTCCTCTGTAAACACCTCCTTCCCGCAAGTGGGGAGCACACGCATGGAGCACACGGGCAGGACGCAAACACACATGCTTCCCTCGCCCGGTTCTGCGGAGCCTCAGCCCGTTCCCACCCATCGCTGGGTTTTCTTCCCGAGGATCAGCCAGGGCGAGGCCAGTGACATGGGCGGGGACCTGCCTCCTGAGTTCCCCCAACAGGTCAGGGGGCCAGCATCCCCGGCTCCATCCTCCCTGCCCTCCCTCTCCCCCATCACCAATCCCCTTGTGGCGGGTGACATCGCAGCCCCTCATGGCGGGTGACATCGCAGCCCCTCATGGTGGGTGACATCGCAGCCCCTCATGGCGGGTGACATGGCCTCCCCTCATGGTGGGTGACATCGCAGCCCCTCATGGTGGGTGACATGGCCTCCCTCATGGTGGGTGACATCGCAGCCCCTCATGGCGGGTGACATGGCAGCCCCTCATGGCGGGTGACATGGCGTCCCCTCATGGCGGGTGACATGGCCTCCCCTCATGGCGGGTGACATGGCAGCCCCTCATGGCGGGTGACATGGCCTCCCCTCATGGCGGGTGACATGGCAGCCCCTCATGGCGGGTGACATCGCAGCCCCTCATGGCGGGTGACATGGCCTCCCCTCATGGTGGGTGACATCGCAGCCCCTCATGGTAGGTGACATGGCCTCCCCTCATGGTGGGTGACATGGCCTCCCCTCATGGCGGGTGACATGGCCTCCCCTCATGGCGGGTGACATGGCCTCCCCTCATGGTGGGGGACATGGCCTCCCTCATGGTGGGTGACATCGCAGCCCCTCATGGTGGGTGACATGGCCTCCCTCATGGTGGGTGACATCGCAGCCCCTCATGGTGGGTGACATGGCCTCCCCTCATGGTGGGTGACAACACCTCCCCTCATGGTGGGTGACACGGCTTCCCGGAGGGATTCTGCAAACCACCCGCACCTTCCCGGAATACGGAGATAAATAAACGGAAAGCATTCTGGGCTTTCCCTCCCTCTTTTCCTCCGGTGCCCACACGTGACCCCGCAGGCCACGGAGTAGGGACAAGGCGGGGGGTGTCTCCTGAGGATCACCGTCTGTAGGACAGAAACGGATTGAGAGCAGGTGCTGAAGGCTGTGACAGCCGTGTGTGCGTGCGCGTGTGAAAGAGTGTGTATGAGTGTGTGTGCGTATGAGTGTGTGTGTGTGAGTGTGTGTATGAGTGCGAGTGTGTGTGTGTATGAGTGTGAGTGTGTGTGTGTATGAGTGTGAGTGTGTGTGTGTGTGAGTGTATGTGTGTATGTGTGTGTGAGTGTGTGTGTATGAGTGTGAGTGTGTGTGTGAGTGTGTGTGTGTGTATGAGTGCGTGTGTATGAGTGTGAGTGTGTGTGTGTGTGCGTGTGTGTGTGTGTGTGTGTGTGAGTGTGTGTGTATGAGTGTGTGTGTCTGTGTGTGTAAGTGTGAGTGTGTGTGTGTGTGTGAGTGTGTGTGTGTGTATCTGTGTCTGTGAGTGTGTGGTGTATGGTGTGTGGTGTGTGCACAGCCCCGCAGGGGAATCACTCAGGAAGAGGGAGAAAGAAAAAGATCAACTGAGGCCCAAGGGGCCGGGGCGCAGGGGGCCGGGGCGCAGGGGGCCGGGGCGCAGGGGGCCGGGGCGCAGGGGCGTCGGGGCGCACACGGGATCGGGGCGCAAGGGCCGGGGGCGCAGGGGGTCGGGGTGCCCAGGGGGTCGGGGTGCAGGGGGCCGGGGCGCAGGGGGCCTGGGCGCACAGGGGATCGGGGTGCAAGGGCCCGGGGCGCAGGGGGCCGGGGCGCAGGGGGCCTGGGCGCACAGGGGTCGGGGGCGCAGGGGGTCCGGGGCGCAGGGTGCCGGGGTGCACAGGGGGCCGGGGCGCAGGGGGCCGGGGCGCAGGGGGCCGGGGTGCCCAGGGGGCCGGGGTGCCCAGGGGAGGCCGCGGGGCGGGGCGGGGCGGGGACCCACCTGGCGCCGGGGACGGGGAGGCGGAGGCCGCGGGCGGGTCCTGGTCCGGGTTCTGGTCCCGGTCCGGGTCGGGGCCGGGCGGCGGGCGCGGGCGGATGAGGCTGAGGTCGGAGCGGCCGGGCCGGGCGGCGGGCAGCAGCAGCGCCAGGCCCAGCAGCAGCGCGCACGGCCGCCCGAGCCCCGCCATGGCCGCCGCGCATCGCGGGCTGCGGGCTGCGGGCTGCGGGGTGCGGGGTGCGGGGTGCGGGGTGCGGGTCCGGGCTGCGGGGTGCGGGTCCGAGCTCCGGGCTCCGGGCTCCGGGTCCGGGCTCCGCTCCCGCCCCGCTCCTCCTGCGCCCGCGCCCCTGCGCGCTCCCGGGCGGGGAGGGAGGGAGGCAGGGTCCCGGGGAGGAGGGAGGGGAGGGGAGGGGCGCGAGGATGCGGGTCCCTCCTCCCCATCACCTCCCGCTCCTCCCGGGACCCTCCCTCCCCCCCTCCCCGCTGGGAGCGCGCAGGGGCGCGGGCGCAGGAGGAGCGGGGCGGGGCGTCACCTGCGCGGAGACCAGGCCGCGCCCTAACCCCCACCCGCGGCACAAACACAAACCGCAGTCAGCAGCATCAGGACCGGAACGGGAGGTGTAGGCTTTGTCCTGCCCCCACGGCGGCCGCGGCCCAGGCCCAGGGCAGCGGGAGGCCGCTCACCGGCCCGTAACGTAACGGTAACGGGGCGCCCAGCCCAGAGGCGCTGCTGGGCCCGGGGCGGGCCAGGGCCGGCCGGACCGTCCCCCTGGCCGTGGGCGGAGGAGGAGCACGGCCGAATGTCCACCTCCCCAAAGCCCTCTGCCCCTCACCGCAGTCCCTTCCGGCACGGAGGCGGCATTTTTCGCAGAAATGCTTTTTTTTTATCCTAAAACTCATAGGAAGCCACAAAGACCGGGAGCAGCCAAAGCAATCCTGAGCAAAAGAACAAAACTGGAGATGATACCCCGGCCGACTTCGAAATATCACCCAGCCCCCAGGCCCGCCCAGGGGTCTCCGTGGACCCAGGAACCAGGAGCTCAGGGTTCGATTCCCGCCAGGGCACAGGCCCCAGTTGCAGGCTCCATCCCCAGTGTACGGCGCACAGGAGGCAGCCGATTCACGATTCTCTCTCATCGTCAATGTTCTCTCTCTCCCTTCCTCTCTGAAATTATATTTAATATTAAATTTTATATGGATTAAGGTGACCAGACAGCCCGCTTTTGGCGGGACAGTCCCGATTTTTAACAATTTGTCCCACGTCCTGTGGTGTTTTGAAAAAGTCCCGATTTTTGGAAATCCTTGCCCAAAATCGGGACTTTTTAAAAAATGCTGTGGGACAAATTTCCAAAAATCGGGACTTTTTCAAAAAGAGAGGAAAGGAGAGGGAGAAACATCGATGATGAGAGAGAATCACGGACCGGCTGCCTCCTGCACGCCCTGCACTGGGGACGTGGGACTTGGCGCCTGGGACGCAGGCTGGCCCTCTCCCGGGAGAGCCCTCGTGCCAGCATCACAGGGACGCCAGCCCGTCCCTCCCTCCCCCGCCAGCCCGGGGGACGCGCCAGACACTAAGGGGAAGTCATTCCGTTCACTCCACCTGGCCCTGTAGTCCGTCTTCCAGTTCACGTTTTTCCTTTTTTATCAAACCACCACCTGTAGGCAGGCGGCACCGGCCAGGCCTGGGGAGCCGAGCGGCTTGGACCTCACCAGGCCAGGCACTGCCCCTGCCCCAGGAACGCCCACCGCCCCCCACGCTGTGTGCCCTCTGACCCCACTGAGCTCGCCCCCGAGCCCCGTGCCCTATGACCCCGCGGACCCCGCCACGCGGCTTTCCCACAGAATGCCCCCCTCAGAGCCAGGGGTCGCTGCCAACCCCTCCTCCGCCTCCTACGGAGCAGTCTCTCTCCTGACACGTTCTCTTTCCATGGGAATATGGACGAGAACTCATCAGGAAGGACAGTTCCACAACGCAGGCACGCTTGTGGCACGGAGTTTCCGATTGCCGGACACGTCAGCATTAGGAACGCAATCAGAATTATCATCATGATCGCAAGAGAGAGGTAGAGGGGAGAAAGGAAAGAATGACTCTCGTACAAGTGTTTTTCAGAATATTAATTCCCAAACAAAAGCCTATATAAGAAATCAACGGTAACGTCAGTATTTCTCACCGATAACAAACGCTTTACATGTCAGGTACCTCACTCACGTGTTTCTAAACTGAAGCAGATTACAAGGGTGGTATGCTCAAACTGGATTGTCGTTCTCAATAAATAACGCAATAGCCATGAAAACAGTTGAAAGTTTAAACGTTTTCATAGGGATTTGCTGGTGGTTGTGTTTTATATTTTAACCAAACACTCTGACCCGCTCCTTACAGGAAAGAATCCCAACGTCTCCCTCCCCGAGGAGGCTCTCCCACTAGGCTTCCTCCGTGCTTTTTGGAGACAATTCACAAATCCTCATTTTTGGAAGAAAACGCTCCGGCCTCAGACCGCAGCTCACAGAGGCGATCAGACACATCCCGCTGGTTCCAACGAGGCAGCCTTCCGTCTCCGGTGCGAGACGGGTCCTCGGGACAGAGGCCGCTCGAGGACGTGGCCATGGCCTGACGGAGTGAATCTGCCCAACACGCCATCTCGGGAGTGACGGTCACGCGTGGGACACGGGGAAAGGCGTGACAGGGCGCAGGCCCCCGGAGAAACCCGGCTCTCTCTCTGAAAACATCAAATGTGTTGGTGATGAAGTACGCGCTGCAGGGGACCGAGCTCTCTAATGACACCTATCTACCCAAGCTGTTCTCTTGTAACTGCGCTGAAGCGAACCCGGGGTCCCGCCGTCCGACCCCGTGTAGCTCGCCCAGCCGTGCCTCCCGTGCGGCTGCAGGGCCGTGACCACACGAGTCACGGCAGGACAAACCCAGCGGCTCTGACCGGGAAAATAGTCAGCTATTTCAGGGAAGTGCTTGTCGCTGCCTGAGGAAGACAGCAGTGAGAAAGCTCCGAGCCCTCGGTTTCTGGTGCCGAAGGTGATGCAATTGCACGAAAATAGCGGTGAGCTCACCGCACGCCGGGCTCCGAGCGCTGGGAGCCCCCTGCAGGCAGAGCGCGCTCGAGCAGCTTTTATAAAAACCCCTAGAAAAGCAATTGACGGTAATAAACCTGAGGAAGCTTCAAAAATCTTCCCAGGAGCCCCAATGGCTTAGAAAAGTACCTTTTAAAAATGACTGAGCGCGCGGAGGCCGGCCTCACACACCACACCTCGCTCTGAGGAGGGCACGGCGGGGACTGGCCGCGGAGACTCCACGCCGAGCCGTCCGGGCGGGAGGCCGGGGGCCTGGCGGTGTGAAGGCTCCTCCTGGACCCTGACTCTGACCTTCCCCAGTGACAGGGGGGACACAGAGGAAAAAGCACGTGCCCAGCAGGAAAATAAATTAACCCAACGAAACAATCTAACCCAAGGACATTCCATGGAGAACTACAGACGTGGCTTTTAAGTTAAAACGCTGCTGTGTGTGTGTGTGTGTGTGTGTGTGTGTGCGTGTGTGTGCGCGCGCGCATGGGCCAGACTGACACAGGGAACGGGTGGTTTCCAGCTCCCCGCGGACGTAAGCATGGCGAGGCTCCGCTGAGGTCGAGCTGCCACTCCGGAGGTGTTTCCGATGCGAGAAGGAGTTTCCAGCACAGGCTGACGCCGAGGCAGGGAAGTACTGCTGACCTGTAAATACCTAAAACGTGATGCGGCAGACTGGGGGCTGAATATAAATAAAAACTGAACAGCGCGTACCGGAATTCCATAGCAAGTCAAACCACTGTCCCTATCTACCGTCCCAGGGAAGGATGCTGACGTAGGTGACAGGTGGAGGCGTCACGGTCTTTAGTGGCTGAAGACGCGCCTGTAGTGTGACGGGTGCTAACAAGCCCCTGCGCCGACGCTGTGGAAGCTCAGGTCCAGGCAGGAACGGCTTCAGAGCAACCGCCACCTCAGGCCAGGGGACCAGCGCACCGCAGACACAGCCCCCGCGGGCGGCGGCCCCGCGTCACAGGGAGGGAGTGCTGGCGGCCAGTCTGTGCGCACGGATGGCCGTCCGGGGAATTGTTATTAGACGCCGGACGCCCACGCCCAGGAGGGGCCGGCGAGACGCGGCAGCCGCCGCTCTGGTCCCGCGGCGAGGCCCGGGCGCCGGGCGGGGGGAACTGGGCCGGCCACAGGCCGAGCTCGCCGCCCGCTAGGTCTCCGAGTTCCCCTCGCCGTTCTCGTGCGGCTGCAGCTGCTCCCTCTCAGGCTCCTCCTGGGGCGGCCGCACGCGCTTGAAGAAGCCCATCTGCCCGTCAGACAGAGACACGGCCGTCACCACGGAGGCGGCGGGCAGTCCGTGCCCACGGGCCCTGCCATCCCCAGGGACAGCTTCCTCCGTCATCGGTGGAGCTCCTGGCGCATTGTCACCGACAAAGAGCCGTCCGCCTCCCCTTCCTCCGTCCCTCTCCCTCCTCCTCCTCCTCCTTCCCTCTTCCTGCTCCTCCTCCTCCTCCTTCCCTCTTCCTGCTCCTCCTCCTCCTCCTTCCTTCCCCTCCTCCTCCTCTCTTCCTCCTCCTCCTCCTCCTTCTGTCTTCCTGCTCCTCCTTCCCTCTTCCTCCTCCTCCTCTTTCCTTCCCCTTCTCCTCCTCTCTTCCTCCTCCTCCTCCTCCTTCTCTCTTCCTCCTCCTCCTCCTTCTCTCTTCCTCCTCCTCCTCCTTCTCCTCCTTCCCTCTTCCCTTTTCTGGTTCCTCCTCCTCCCTCTCTCTTCTTCCTCCTCCTTCTCTCTTCCTCCTCCTCCTCCTCCCCTTCCCTCCTGCCCATTCTCCCTGCCCCCGCCCCCCCCATGCCCACTCCGTACCCGGTGCATCACAAACACCAGCACCGCCAGCAGCAGCAGCCCTGCCAGGACGGCCAAGATGATCACCCACACAGGCACCGGCATGGGTGCCGGCTGGATGCCCCAGGTTACGTCCGTGGTGACCTGTCGGGGGAGAGAAGGTCTGGGTCTTAAACACAGCTCACGGACAGACTCGGCCACTGCCTGCGTGCCGGCTCCATTTTAATGGCGTTTACGTCCTTTCCTTTTCTTGTGTGCTAGAGGCCAGGTGCATGAATTCACGCACAGGCGGGTCCCTTGGCCTGGCTGGCGACAGGGCTGGCCCTGGGAGGTTGGCTGTAGGCGCACACTGATCACCAGGGTGCAGCTCCTGCATTGGCAGTCTGCCCCCTGGTGGTCAGTGCACGTCATAGCAACTAGTTGACCAGTCTTCAGTACACCTGTCTTAATAGTTGCTTAGGCTTTTATATACAATATATAGATGAGAAGTTACGATTAAATATCTGGCATCGACAGCAGACACACACACACAAACACACACATACACACACACACCTTCCAAGGAGAGGGCCACTTTGGTCATCACTACTCACACGGATTTCAGACAATCCGATCCAATTGGTGATGTGTTGGTCCAATTCTCAATCCTCCATTTAAAGATCCTTAAAATGTCTTCCCTTCTCCTAGTTAATTTCCAACTTTCTGACTTTAAGGGGAAAATCTGCCCCAAACGTCCCCCATGAGATTCAGGGAATGCTAAGACTCCCTCACTCAGGACGAGAGGCTGAAGAGGAAGATCTGCCTTTACCATGTCCGGGGCGAGGGAGCCAACCACTAAGCTAACTTACAACCCGATCCAGTGACTCCTCGTTACGTTAAACCAGCCAAACCGCCTTCTCTGAGTCAAGGGGGCCCGTCCACGGCCGAAGCCGAGCGCCCTGCCCGCCCGCCCGCCCGCCTCGCCTACCCCGCCCGCCCGCCCGCCCGCCCGCCTCGCCTACCCCGCCCGCCCTGCCCGCCTCGCCTACCCCGCCCGCCCGCCCGCCTCGCCTACCCCGCCCGCCTCGCCTACCCCGCCCGCCCTGCCCGCCCGCCCGCCCCGCCCGCCCGCCTCGCCTACCCTCCCCGCCCTGCCCCCGCCCGCCCCGCCCCGCCCGCCCGCCTCGCCTACCCCGCCCGCCCGCCCGCCCGCCCGCCCGCCGCCTCGCCCCCACCTACGAGGGTGGAGTTGGCGACGTCGTCGATGGGCAGGTTCCTGTAGGGGAACTCGATGACGCTGAAGGCGGCGGACGACTTGAGGGAGTAGGAGCGGTTCTGGTTCTCCTTCTGCGGGGGACAGGGGTGTCGGTTCTCAGGACTTTGGGGAGCGGGCGGCAGTCTGCTGGGGCTGCGCCTGCACTCACGTCCATGAAGGTCTGGGTCCACAGCAGCGACCGCACGTACAGGATGGCGCTCTTGCCGCGGTCCAGGCGCCCCACCTGGCAGACGATCTTCAGGCACTCTGCCACCCCGCAGCCCTGCCGACGAGACGGCCGGCCTCTGCACCCTTTTCTAAAATACGTTCTTCCAGGAGCTCCCCTGCCCGCTGCCCAGAGGCTCTGCACGGCTGGAGGCCCATCCGTGTTCCGCCGGCCGCTCATGCTGCCCACGCTCAGCGGCCTCCCCCCCCTACACCCAGACATGGGGCTGAGAGGACGACGGGTGCCACCATTGTGACCGAATGACGGTCATAATGTGCCTATTCCCCCTTCATTAGATAGAACTGATTTCAGAGGAAGAGAGAAAGAAATATCAACGATGAGAGAGAATCCTTAATCAGCTGCTTCCTGCGCGCCCCCCACCGGAGACGGAGCCGGCAGCCTGACCATGTGCCCTTGGCCTCCTGGCACAGAGGTCAGCGCCCCACTGTGGGGCCATGCAGGCCGGGCATGCAGAACTGCTAAATTCCAAATGTTATCCTCGTGTTTCTGCTGAGGTCTCTGGGATCCTCCTGCCGCTTTGCACCGAAGCTGCAAAGGTCAGGGCGAGCCGAGGAAGGGCGAGTTCGGGCGAACAGACAGCTCCGTGGAGCGGCGTCTCTCCTGGACGCCCCGCGGCGCCCGCTCCAGCCCCCGCACTCACCAGCGTGTGCACGCCCCCGTCGCCCTGGGCGAGGTCCCGCCGGGTGACCAGGTGGCCGCGCCCGCCCTGCCCGGCCGCGCTGTCGTTCTCCGCCGGCTGCCCGCTGGAGACCTGGCCACGGAAACGGAGGCACGCTTTTCAAACTTCCCCTTCTCCGAACGCCTCTTCTTCCGCACAGACCCGCCCAGGCGGGGCCGTTCCGTGGAAGAGCCACACTCCAGGGGCCTGTGGCTGGCAGCGCGGGGTGCCGACCGCCCGGGCTCAGGGAACGGGCATAGGAGGTGCCGGGGGCGCGCGCCGGGCCCACCTTGATCCGCAGCGGGTTGACCTCGGCGTCCGCCGTGCAGTTCATGGGCCCGTCCACGTCGAACTGCAGCACGTACAGCAGCGTGCGGTTGCGGAACTTGTGCGGCCACTGCAGCGTCAGCATGGCCTTGCTGAAGGCGCTGGGCCCGTTGTTCCGCAGCTGCGGGCGGGAGAGGGCACCTCGGTGCTCGGCCCGGCCCCGCCTCCCTCGGCCCTGCCCGCCCTCCCCCTGCAAGAGCCTTAGCAACAGGCAGAGCGTCTCCATGGTGACCCTCAGGTCACACATATGCCGGTGACCGTGCACAAGGGGCCACACGCAGCACCTGCTCAGGGGGAGGCCGGGGTAAAAATACAAACCGAGAGGAAGAGCTGGGCCCTGGCCGGTGTGGCTCAGTGGACAGAGCGTCGGCCTGGGGACTGAGGGTCCCCGGTTCGATTCCGGTCAAGGGCATGTGCCTTGGTGGCGGGCACATCCCCAGTGGGAGGTGTGCAGGAGGCAGCTGATGGATGTTTCTAATTCTCTCTGTGAAAATCCAGTAAAATATATTAAAAAGGAAAAAGCTGCCGATGAGACGGCACGGACACGCTGGTCCTGCCGGCCCGGATGTGGGCTCTGCGGCACCTCTCCCGCCGTCGGTCTGCAGGGTCCCCCTCAGCAGCACCACGGTTAGACACCACGGCGCCGGCCGCCCTGAGGCCCTCGGAGCAGCTTGGCCAAGGGAGATGAACACACACACACACACACACACACACGCACATCACATACACACACAGAGAGACACACCACACACACGCACATCACACACACACATACATACACACATACACACACACCACATACACACACACGCACATCACACACACCACACCACATACACACATACGCACATCACATACACACACAGAGAGTCACACACCACACACACGCACATCACACACACACATACATACACACATACACACACAGAGAGAGACACACCACATACACACACACACATGCACACACGCACACAGACACACACGCACGCACACGCACACCCCACACATACCATACACACACACATGCACACACGCACACGGACACACAGACACACACGCACGCACACGCACACCCCGGTGCAGTCTCACCGCACCATGCCCACAGAATGCAGACAGGCAGACAGCCGTCCCCCCACCCCCTCGCACCTCGTAGATGTGCTGGATCACCGGCCCCACGTCCTCCTCAGTCTCGGGGTGCTCCTTGTACTCCCAGTTGGGGATCGGGAGGAAGACATGGTCAGGACTCGAGACCCTAAACAACCAAGGAAAACCCACCCACATCAGAGGGACGGTCGGTCCATCCTCCCTCGCGCCCTGCACCCGGAGGAAGGACAGCAGACCTGGCTTTATTTACTTATTTATGTATCTGCTCCCACCCTCCCACAGACCTGACTCTTACAGCGCGCTGCGCCTGCGAGGGCCGAGGCTTCACCTTCAAAGGGTAACCTGGCCCGTCCCCCCAGACCCGTCCCCCCAGCCCGTCAGTGGTTAGCGCACGGCCTGCGCCCGGAGGTCATGGGCTGGATCCCGGTCACGGGCCTGCACCTGGCTTGCAGGTTGGCTCCCTGGCCCCGGGCGAGGTGCGTGTGGGAGGCGACCATCCATGTGTCTGTCTCCCTCTGTCTCTCCCACTCCCCTCCCTCCCACGTGCGCTCAAACCCCGGGGGACAGTCCCCGGGCGACGGCCAGCAGACCCCTTTGTGGAGGATGGAGACGCCCGCCGGGGATGCACTGACCCTCGGATCTCCACAGCGGCCAGCACGGCCAGGTCCACACGGTGCGACACCACCGGGCTCACTTTGTCCAAGAGGTTGGAGCTGGAAGAGGAGACACCTCAGGACCGGACCGACCCGTCCCCCAGACCCGTCCCCCAGACCCGTCCCCGAGACCCGTCCCCCCAGACCCGTCCCCCCGACCCGTCCCCCCAGACCCGTCCCCCAGACCCGTCCCCCAGACCCGTCTCCCCAGACCCGTCCCCCCAGATCCGTCCCCCCAGACCCGTCCCCCAGACCCGTCTCCCCAGACCCGTCCCCCCGACCCGTCCCCCCAGACCCGTCCCCCAGACCCGTCCCCCAGACCCGTCCCTCAGACCCGTCTCCCAGACCCGTCCCCCAGACCCGTCCCCCAGACCCGTCCCCCCAGACCCGTCCCCCAGACCCGTCCCCCCAGACCCGTCCCCCAGACCCGTCCCCCCAGATCCGTCCCCCGAGACCCGTCCCCCAGACCCGGCCCCCCAGACCCGTCCCCCCAGACCTGGCCCCCGAGACCCGGCCCCCAGACCCGGCCCCCAGACCCGTCCCTCCAGACCCGTCCCCCAGACCCGTCCCCCAGACCCGTTCCCCCAGACCCGGCCCCCGAGACCCGGCCCCCCAGACCCGGCCCCCCAGACCCGTCCCCCCAGACTCGTCCCCCCAGACCCGTCCCCCTAGACCCGCCCCCCAGACCCGTCCCCCCAGACCCGTCCCCCAGACCCGGCCCCCAGACCCGGCCCCCAGACCCGTCCCCCCAGACCCGTCCCCCCAGACCCGTCCCCCCAGACCCGTCCCCCCAGACCCGTCCCCCGAGACCCGTCCCCCGAGACCCGTCCCCCAGACCCGTCCCCCAGACCCGTCCCCCCGACCCGTCCCCCAGACCCGTCTCCCCAGACCCGTCCCCCAGACCCGTCCCCCCAGATCCGTCCCCCCAGACCCGTCCCCCAGACCCGTCCCCCAGACCCGTCCCCCCAGCCCGTCCCCCCAGACCCGTCCCCCCAGACCCGTCCCCCCAGACCCATCCCCCAGACCCGTCTCCCCAGACCCGTCCCCCCAGACCCGTCCCCCCAGACCCGTCCCCCGAGACCCGTCCCCCCAGACCCGTCCCCCAGACCCGTCCCTCAGACCTGTCTCCCCAGACCCGTCCCCCCAGACCCGTCCCCCCAGATCCGTCCCCCGAGACCCGTCCCCCAGACCCGTCCCCCAGACCCGTCCCCAGACCCGTCCCCCAGACCCGTCCCCCAGACCCGGCCCCCAGACCCGGCCCCCAGACCCGTCCCCCAGACCCGTCCCCCCAGACCCGTCCCCCAGACCGTCTCCCAGACCCGTCCCCCAGACCCGTCCCCCAGACCACCGTGGCCACGCGGGGACACACACCGAGCAAATCAGAAGCAACAAAGAAATTAAAAACCCACTGTCTTCATTGGCATATTAAATTAATCCAAGTTTTACTCAACTCCTTGTCTTATAAACCCAAACCGACTAAGTCATTCTTATGACGTGAACAGTGACTTTAAAAGGGGATAATCAGGTAATGAAGTGTTAGTCTAGGCCAGCGGTCGGCAAACTCATGAGTCAACGGAGTCAAATATCAACAGGACAACAATTGAAACTTCTTTTGGGAGCCACGTGTTTTAAACTTAAACTTCTTCTGACGCCACTTCTTCAACGTAGACTCGCCCAGGCCGTGGTGTTTTGTGGAAGAGCCACACCCACGGGGCCAAAGAGCCGCCTGTGGCTCGAGAGCCGCGGTTTGCCGACCACGGGCCTATTCTACCGCATATTAAATCACATACCGTTTTTAACAAATATCCCCTCAACAGCTACACAGCGAGAAGGCGGCTCTTAGTCCCCAATAGCTCAGGGAGGCAGAGGGAGGGCGTGCTGACCTCTGGATCTGCAGGTCGAACTTCACCGACGTGTCCATCTCCGACTGCTGGTGCACGCTGAACCGGAGGCCGGCGCGGAGCTGGGGGCGGGGAGGGCCGCGTCAGGGAAACCAGGCCAGTGAGCGACAGCCCAGCGGCCAATGAAAAACAACGGCCTGGTCTTTCTGCCGGGAGAACCTGGGCGTGTCTCAACGGCGTTCCTTCGGGCCTTCCAGCAAAGCTCCTTCAGGACCCGGGGCCGACCCCAGTGGGGCTCGGGAACAGCCGTCCTTTTTTGTTTTTTTAATATATTTTATTCATTTTGTACAGAGAGGAAGAGAGAGGGATAGAGAGCTAGAAACATCGATGAGAGAGAGTCATCAATCAGCTGCCTCTTGCACAACCCCCACTGGGGGTATGCCCACAACCAGGGTACACGCCCTTGACCAGAATCGAACCCAGGACCCTTCAGTCCACAGGCTCTATCCACTGAGCCAAACCGGTCTCGGCGGGAATGACCCCTCACCTCCGTGTAATTAACACCCATTGTCTCCCCGAATGAAAGCGTCAATGGAGGGTGGGGGTAAGGGGAGAGACCAACCAAAGGACTTGTGTGCACACGTATGAGCCTAACCAGTGGTCACGGACAACAGGGGAGGGGCATGAGTGGGGGGGGTGAGGGATTGGAATGGGGGGGATGAGGACAAATATGTGATACCTTAATCAATAAAGAAATTAAAAAAATAATAAAAGTTAAAAAAAAAGTGAAAACGTCAGTGTCTGTTCATTCGACGGAAGCAGACAGCTCCGCTCAGCGATGTGCCTGCGGGGCGTGATGTGCCAGGGCCTGGAGGAGGAGCGGACGGGTCACGGGCACAGGACGGGGTTCGCAGACACGGGCAGGGCCAGCCCGGCCTCCCCAGCTCCCAGCCTCCACACCACGCACCGCCCTCTGCAGTGAGGCTGTTCCGAGAGGAGGGGAGGCGGCTTCGGGTCCGAGTAAAGGACACAAAGGCCTTTCTCCAAACCACCTCCCCTGCGCTCAGCCAGAGCTGGCCACCAGAAATAACCGGCCTGGTCGGCAAACTTCGGCTCAGGAGCCACATGTGGCTCTTTGGCCCCGTGGGTGTGGCTCTTCCACAGAACACCACGGCCTGGGCGAGTCTATCTGGAAGAAGTGGCGTTAGAAGAAGTTAAAGTTTAAAAAATTTAGCTCTTAGCCGAAACCAGTTTGGCTCAGTGGATAGAGCGTCGGTCTGCAGACTGAAAGGTCCCGGGTTTGATTCTGGTCAAGGGCATGTACCTTGGTTGCAGGCACATCCCCAGGAGGGGGCATGCAGGAGGCAGCTGGTCGATGTTTCTCTCTCATCGACGTTCCTAGCTCTCTATCCCTCTCCCTTCCTCTGTGGAAAATCAATGAAATACATTTTTTTTAAAAATGGGGGCTCTCAAAAGAAATGCCCATCGTTGTCCTGTTGGTATTTGGCTCTGTGGACACATGAGTCCTGGACGGAAGGAGCGGTGAGTGGGAAACAGGAGGAGAACAGAAGCACGCCCCGCTTGTGAATGAAACCTGGCCGGGCTCCGAGGCTCGAGCATCTGCCAATCAGGGCCCCGAAATCGAAGCCCTCGGAGAGGCACCATTTTGGGGCAAAGTTTACTGCAGACAGACCCCCCCTCACACTTCCTGCGGTAACTGACAGCTCACCTGGGTGCCGGCCTTCATGGGGTTCCCCAGGTCACACACCACCTGGCGGGTCTGGTTCTCCGTCTTAAACGCACAGGAGAGCCTCGCCAGGGCCTGGGGCGGACAGGGAGAGAGGGTTATGAGGAGGATGCATTAACGAGAGAGAAAAGGAAGAGGGAGACCGCAGATGCCACGCAATAACAGCCCCCAGACAGGGTCCTGCGGTCAGACACCCAGGTCCTGCTGGACGGGCAGGTGCACCGTCTGAGCACGCGGGCGAGGCGGGGCGGGCAGAGGCCAGGCAGGCGGGCAGGCGGCCGAGGCCGGGCGTGCACAGCGGAAGCCCCTCTGGGGGTCCTGGACGCAGACATGGAACCCCGGGCCCTGACAGCCGAGTCCGACGGCCAGGCCGGGGCACCCTCTGCCCAACCGGTTTCGGGCCCTCTGCAGGCCCTGCTCACTGCACCAGCCAGAGCCCCCGCAGGGAGGAGCGGCCAGGGGACGGGGACGGGGACGGGCACACCGCCTGGCTGAGAGGCCTGAGGGAGGGGGCCGGGCTGGCCGAGGAGCCCGGGGCACGGAGCCCGGGGCACGGAGACCGGGGAGTCCTGGGGGCACGGAGACGGGGAGCCTGGGGCACAGAGACGGGGAGCCCTGGGGGCACGGAGACGGGGAGCCTGGGGCATGGAGACGGGGAGCTCTGAGGGCACGGAGATGGGGGAGCTCTGAGGGCACGGAGACAGGGAGCCCTGGGGGCACGGAGCCGGGGAGCCTGGGGCACGGAGACGGGGAGCCCTGGGGGCACGGAGACGGGGAGCCCGGGGCACGGAGACCGGGGAGCCTGGGGCACGGAGACCGGGGAGCCCGGGGCACGGAGACCGGGGAGCCCTGAGGGCACGGAGACGGGGAGCCCTGGGGGCATGGAGCCGGGGAGCCCGGGGCACGGAGACGGGGAGCCCTGGGGGCACGGAGACGGGGAGCCCGGGGCACGGAGACCGGGGAGCCTGGGGCACGGAGCCGGGGAGCCTGGGGCACGGAGACGGGGAGCCCTGGGGGCACGGAGACGGGGAGCCCGGGGCACGGAGACCGGGGAGCCTGGGGCACGGAGACCGGGGAGCCCGGGGCACGGAGACGGGGAGCCCTGGGGGCACGGAGACGGGGAGCCCTGGGGGCACGGAGCCCGGGGATCCTGGGGCATGGAGCCCGGGGAGCCCTGGGGGCACGGAGACGGGGAGCCCTGGGGGCACGGAGACGGGGAGCCCGGGGCACGGAGCCGGGGAGCCCGGGGCACGGAGACGGGGAGCCCGGTCCCTGAGGCGCGCCCACCTCGCTGTTGCGGACGACGCCGATGAAGTCGGCCTGGGGGGGCAGGGCCACGGTGAGCTCGGCCTCGTAGGCGCCCTCGCCCTGGTTCTGCGCCGTCACCATCAGGGTCAGCGGGTTGTCGTCCCCGACGTAGATCTTCTTCTGGTCCCTGCGGGCGGCGGCCGGGCACCGTCAGAGGGACAGGCCGCCACGTGGCCGTCCCCGAGTCCCCGGTTCACACGACGCCCCCTCCGCAGGAAGAGCAGAGCCAGGGCGTCTGAGCGACCAGCGCCCACGCCAGGGCCCGCTCCGGCCACGCACCCACCGCGGACGCCATTCCCGTCTCCCGTGTCACTGACTGAGCCTCCGGTTTTAGGAAAAAACTGAGCTGCTCGCTTGTCTCGATTCTGATAGGAACTCGCTGCAGCTTGTGTCTCATGCAAAGGTGGTGGGATTCCTCCCCAGGCCTGTCGCCCACAGCCAGCGGGAACTCGGCGCCCACTGCTCTGAGGCTCAGTGCGCCGGCTGGGCCGTCACACACAATCACACAGCCCCCTCCGAGGGCCAGGCCGGGCGCCCTCTGCCCCTGGAACTGGCCCTCACGCGGACACACCGCCCGGGGAGGGAGGGGACGGCTCCCTCTCGGCCGCCCTGTGAGCGCGTCCCGGGACAGCCTCACCTGTCCACCGACACCTCCAGCTTGGGCCGGCACACGTTGTCCTCGCCGCAGTCCAGGAGGATGTGAGCCTAGGAGAGAGGGCGTCCGTGTCCCTGCATGCAGAGGGCGCCGTGCGGGGCACACCGCGGGCCTGGCAAACTACACGGGGAGCCGTGAACACGCATGTGCGCACGTGTCTACACGGACAGGGAGGTGCCAGCTCCTCCGCAGGCTGACAGGCGGGGCCCGCGGACTGCCAGGGGAGGCCCGGAGGAAAGGACGCGGACATGAGGGACTGGTAGACGCGTTTGCTCCATCGCCAGGGGAGCCGTTACGACTGGAAGGAAGTGTCACGGAGAAGGGAAAGTGACGGCCGAAAATGAGCTCCAGCCGGGCAGGCATGGCTCGGTGACTGAGCCTCAAACTACGGGCCAGGAGGTCACGGCTCGATTGCCGGTCAGGGCACATGGCTAGTTGCAGGCTCCATGGCCAGTGTGGGGTGCCCATGATTCTCTCTCATCACTGATGTTTCTATCTCTTTCTCTCTCTCCCTCGTTCCTCACTGAAATCAATAAAAACATATATTAAAAAAAAAAAAGAGTATTTGAGATGTTAGAATGTTAGATACAGAAGAAACAACCAAAATGTAGATGAAGAATCCTAATAAAGAAGAAATATTAACTAAAAATATAAAAAATGCAATAAAAAGAGGAAAGAAATAGCAAAATGCAACTGTCATATCCGAATACGTGGGTTTTACATAAGATTTTCTAAAAATATTGTAATACGGCCTGTATGACGTTTTATCGCTTATTTGGTTTTATGAAAAGGAAGTACTACACACATATATATCTATATATGTGTGTGTGTGTGTGCGTGTATTTTTAAATTAAGTCAAAGATAAAACAGATATTAAACTCGTTTAGCAAAATATTAAAATACGACATAAATTGGCGTCTTGTTGTTTTCCTTGAATATTGAACGGTCTCCTGCGAGCCCACCACTCTCCCGTATCTGAGCTCTCCGCGGCTTTCAGCGTCTCTGACCGAGTCCTCCCCTCTGACTCTCTGCCTGACACCCAGGTCACCACAGCGGCCCTGGTGCTGCTGTGACACAGGAGCGGCCGGCCGCCAGGGGTCCCGCGTGGCGGGGCTGGTACCTGCCGGCTGAGGTTGGCGGGCGTGAACTGGTTGAGGATGGGCCGCAGGCCGGTGGCGTCGGCCGCCGTGCGGTAGTCCAGCCGGTACTCCATGAACACGGTGATCGGCGTGAGCTTGTCTCTGAACTCGGACTCGTCCTGCAAGCGGAGAGGCCGGCGTGAACAAGGACTCGCGCGCCCGGGGAGACGGAGAGCAGGACGCACGGCAGCTGTGCGGCTCGAACGCCACCCAGACCCTCCGGAAACCGTGCTCATGCCGAAGAAAACAACCAGAACACGCCTGTTCGCCGAGAACGCAGCCAACTTACCATTAAAACGGGATTATCTCATTCACACAGAAATTAATAAAGCGAGCACTCGCCGACACCGGCGTGGCTCAGTGGACAGAGCGTCGGCCTGCGGACTGAAGGGTCCCAGGTTCGATTCCGGTCAAGGGCATGTACCTCGGTTGCGGGCACATCCCCAGTAGGTGTGCAGGAGGCAGCTGATCGATGTTTCTCTCTCATCGGTGTTTCTAACTCTCTGTCCCTCTCCCTTCCTCTGTGTAAAAGAAAAATCAATAAAATATATATTTTTTAAAATAAATAAAAAGTAAATAAAATGAGCACTCAGATACATGCCCACCCTGGCCTGTGTGGCTCAATGGTTGAGCATCGCCCTGCGAGCCAAGAAGTCACTGGTCCAATCCCCGGGCTGCGGGCTCAGTTCCCATCGGGGGCTGCAGGAGGCGGCGGATCAGTGATGTTTCTCTCATTGATGTTCCTCTCTCTCCGTCGCCTTCCTCTCTCTAAAATAAATAAGACCGTTTTTTCTAAAAACACAGGCCCAATACTGTAACTGGAACATTCCTGCCATCCATCAGCTACCCCAAGGTCCTCTCTGGAGCGCCTCAACCCTCTGCCTTCCCAGGACCCCATCCTGGGCTGGGCCCCTCCCCTGACCCCATCCTGGGCTGGGCCCCTCCCCTGACCCCGTCCTGGGCTGGCCCCTCCCCTGACCCCGTCCTGGGCTGGGCCCTCCCCTGACCCCACCCCATCCTGGGCTGGGCCCCTTCTCCTTGCTGGCCTGCAGCCGCCTGTTCCCGTGTGCGTCTCTGGACAGCAGGGCCCTGAGTTAGCCTTTCTGTCTATTTAAAATTAGATCGTACAGATTCTGGTTTTCTTCCTTCCGTTTAACACTCTAGTTGGAATCCTCAGACCCGCAGCCAGACGCCTTCTGCTCCCGCCATGGCCCGCTCTCATGGCCACCGCACGTGTGTCCGTGTTTGCATCTTCCCGCTTTTCCTTTCGCGTTTTACAACTTTCCGATCCGGGATTTCACACGCTCCGTTAGATTCACTCCAGGTTGTTGTGGGTTTTTGGTGCAATTGTAACTGAGACTGCCCTCTTAGCTTCCCTGCCTGACAGTCTGTTACCAACAGATACAAACGCAGCTGGCTCGGGTACTTATTTTGTATCCTGCGGCTTTAACGGAATTCGCCTGTCAGTTCCGGTAGTTTTTGGTGGAACCTTTAGGGCTTCTGATTTTATTTTTATTTTGGAAAGAGAGGGAGAGAGATACAACATCCATGGTGAGAAGCACTGACGGGCTGCCTCCTGCACGGCCCCCACTGGGGATCGAGCCCACAGCCCGGGCCTGTGCCCTGACCGGAATCAAACCAGCGACCCCTCAGTCCACAGGCCGACGCTCTATCCACTGAGCCACACCAGCCAGCGCTCGGGTCAGAGGTTTTAAGGAGCCTCACTTCCTCACGCGTCTTCCCGCGGACCTCACCCCCGGAGATGTGCGGAGTGAGGCCGCCCGGTGAGAGGAAACGGCAGGAGGGGGGGACAGACAGCGGGGGGAGGAGGACGGACAGCGGGGGGAGGAGGACGGACAGCGGAGGGAGGAGGACGGACAGCGGGGGGAGGAGGACGGACAGCGGGGGGAGGAGGACAGCGGGGGGAGGAGGACGGACAGCGGGGGGAGGAGGACGGACAGCGGGGGGAGGAGGACGGACAGCGGAGGGAGGAGGACGGACAGCGGGGGGAGGAGGACGGACAGCGGGGGGAGGAGGACAGCGGGGGGAGGAGGACGGACAGCGGGGGGAGGAGGACGGACAGTGGGGGGAGGAGGATGGACAGCGGGGGGAGGAGGACAGCGGGGGGAGGAGGACAGCGGGGGAGGAGGACAGCGGGGAGGGGGGACGGACAGCAGGGGGAGGAGAACGGACAGCGGGGGGAGGAGGACGGACAGCGGGGGGGAGCACAGACCCGGAGGGAGCAGTGCAGACCGGGGAGCCTCACCCGCAGGTACGCCACCAGCTCCTCGCACTGCATGCGGCCGCCCCGGGACACGGTCATGTTCTTGGGGTGGCCCGGGGACCGGCTGTGGAGGAACAGCGCTCGGCGGATGGCGCCCTTCTGCTTGAGCTTGTCCAAGAGAAGCTCCACCTGGAAGTCTGCACGGACAGAGGGTGTAACCAACGGCCCCGCAGACAACCCCCCCAGCCCCCTCCCCCGGCCCCGCAGACAACCCCCCCCCAGCCCCCTCCCCCAGCCCCACAGACAACCCCTCCCAGCCCCCTTCCCCGGGCCCCGCAGACAACCCCTCCAGCCCCCTCCCCCGGGCCCCACAGACACCACCCCAGTCCCCTTCCCCGGCCCCGCAGACAACCCCCCCAGCCCCCTCCCCCGGGCCCCACAGACAACCCCCCCTAGCCCCCTCCCCCGGGCCCCACAGACAACCCCCCCCAGCCCCCTCCCCCCCCCCGGCCCCACAGACAACCCCCCCAGCCCCTCCCCCCCCCGGCCCCACAGACAACCCCCCCAGCCCCCCCCCCCCCCGGGCCCGCAGACAACCCCCACCCCAGCCCCCTCCCCCGGCCCCCCAGTGTGACCCCCAGCCCCCAGTGTGATCCCCAGCCCCCCAGCCCCCAGTGTGACCCCCGGCCCCCCAGTGTGACCCCCAGCCCCTCATCCTCAGTGTGACCCCCGGCCCCCAGTGTGATCCCCGACCCCCCCAGTGTGACCCCCAGCCCCTCACCCTCAGTGTGACCCCCGGCCCCCAGTGTGACCCCCGGCCCCCCAGTGTGACCCCCAGCCCCTCACCCTCAGTGTGACCCCCGGCCCCCCAGTGTGATCCCCGACCCCCCCAGTGTGACCCCCCAGCCCCTCACCCTCAGTGTGACCCCCGGCCCCCCAGTGTGACCCCTGGCCCCCCAGTGTGACCCCCAGACCCCAGTGTGACCCCCAGCCCCCCAGCCCCCAGTGTGACCCCTGGCCCCCCAGTGTGACCCCCAGCCCCCCAGCCCCCAGTGTGACCCCCAACCCCCAGCCCCTCAGTGTGACCCCCGGCCCCCCAGTGTGACCCCCAGCCCCTCACCCTCAGTGTGACCCCCGGCCCCCAGTGTGACCCCCGGCCCCCCAGTGTGACCCCCAGCCCCTCACCCTCAGTGTGACCCCCGGCCCCCCAGTGGGCCCCGGACACTCACTCAGCTTCGGGGGGAGTGTGCCTTTGCCGTCCGCCCGCAGGCAGAACCTGACGTTGAAGCTGCGGGAAAAGAGGACACGGCCCGTCACCCGGGCAGGCAGCGCGGCCGCACACGCAAGACACGCCAACCTCAGCCCGCCTCACACCGTCCCCTGCAGAGGGTCTGTCCGTCCGTCCGTCTGTCTAACGTACTGAACACGGGACACGAGGCAGCACCGCACTCGGCCTAAATCCGCAGCCGCTGCCCGCCATCGGCCCCTCGCGGGAGAGGGATCCGCTCCCTCCCTCCGAGTCCGCAGAGGGGAGGCCTCCCGACCCAACACCCCCGTCCGCAGCCCCGACGTGCCCCCCGCTGGCCAGCGAGCCGAGACCCGCTCTCGGGAAGGACGGTCCCTCAGTCCCACTCCCTCCTCTCCGCGCTCCGGCCGGAGCCAGGAGCCGGGGCCCAGAGGGCGGCCCCTCCTCACCGAGTCACACTTGTCCTGACGTGCAGGAGAAAGACACTGGCTTCTCCATTTTATCTTAACGTGTTGTAAACATACGTCAGCTTAAAGAAAGAAACCTTAATAAAATGACAAATACATGCACTGTAAGAATAGCATAAAAATACCTGGCCAAGCCTCTCTATGAAGCTTTCAGAGGAGAAAAGAAAAACAGAAAAAAAAAGAATAACATAAAAATATGGAGACTTGAGAAACCCCAAACTATAGAAGAATTCAAACGTTAAATTTTTTAATTAATTTTTTTTTTCTTTAAAAACTACTAAAGTGAGAGACTGGTCTATTAGAGCAAAATAATATTTTTTCATACAGCCACTCAGATATTAAATCTGAAAAAGATCACACCTGTTAAAAATTAAAATGTCCATGGGTCTTTCTTAGAATTAAATACAATATAAATGAATTCTGAGATCTTATTAGCTTTTTCTTCTTTTTAATATATTCTCTGAGCATGCGTCAGCTAAAAACTGCAGTAGTTTTTGGCCAGGCCGGTGTGGCTCAGTGGTTGAGCGTTGACCTATGAACCAGGAGGTCAGGGTTTGATTCCTGCTCGGGGCACAGGCCCGGGTTGCAGGCTCCATCCCCAGTGTGGGGCGTGCAGGGGGCAGCCGACCCGTGGTTCTCCCTCACCACTGATGTTTGTATCTCTCCCTCTTCCTTTCTCTAAAACGGCGGTTCTCACCCTTTCTGACGTCACAACTCACAGGTTGAGAACCGCTAGCAGGGTCGCCTAAGACCTTCGGAAAACACAGATATTTACATTACGATTCATAACAGCAGCAAAATCAGTTATGAAGTAGCAACAAAAATAATTGTATGGTTGGGGGGTCACCACCACATGAGGAACTTATTAAAGTGTCCCAGCATTAAAAGGGTTGAGAACCACTGCTCTAAAATAAAAAATAAAATAAATAAAAAATAAATATATATAATACACACACACACACACACACACACATAAACTTTACCCTCGTTTTTAACATATTCTACAGCTTTCTATAGATCTTTCTGGAACGATATTTCTATAACCCAATCGACGACGTAGTAAGAGAGCAGACAGATGAAATCTGCATCAGCTGTGTCACCCCTACCTTCACTGTCGGTTGTTTTGTTTTTGTTTGGTTTTTTTAAATATATTTTATTGATTTTGTACAGAGAGGAAGGGAGAGAGATAGAGAGCTAGAAACATCGATGAGAGAGAGCCATCGATCAGCTGCCTCTTGCACACCCCCCACTGGGGATATGCCCGCAACCAAGGTACATGCCCTTAACCAGAATCGAACCCGGGTCCCTTCAGTCCCCAAGCCGACGCTCTATCCATTGAGCCAAACCGGTTTCGGCTGTCGGTTGTTTTTATATTATTTATAATGACCGAACCACAGTCAGAACGAGGACCGTAACCACCAGAGCACAGCGAACGCTCTCACCAGGACACTTTGAGGTCCGTCCCCGGCAGCGGGCAGGTCTTGTTGTCTTGGTTCAGGATGCTCGGGTAGACCTCCAGGCTGGCGTGGACGGTGATGACCGGCCTGGCTCTGGGGAGGGCGAGGGGGACAGAGAGGGGGAGTGTTTACAGCGCTGGGCGGGCTGAGCAGGTCGGGCTCACACCCACTCCGGGGGCAGAGGAAAGACAAGACCATCGCCTCAGAACGAACGCCACTGTCCCCGAGCCCAGGGCTGCCGGATCCCGGCAGGCGAGGCCCGTGACCGGCAAATTCCTCGGCCCCAGGCGACGTGGGACGATCAGCCACACCCTCCGAACTCTGCCCGTGAAAGCAGGACAGGGAAGCCAGCCGTGTGCTATGGAGCCTACACACACCCACGCACACGCACACACACACACACACCCACGCACACGCACACACACACACACACACACACACGCACACGCACACGCACACACACACACACACACACGCACACGCGCACACGGGGAAGCGAGGGCCGTGCGCCATCCGTGCTGTTTCGGAGGATCTAAGATCCATGCCACATGTAACGTCAGTGCGACACGGGAAAAATCCACAATGTACAAAGGATGCGCGCACACACATTATTTTAATGCCTCGTGTGTTTCTGATTCTATACACTAATCTATATATATAAAAGGATAATATGCTAAATGTCCAACTGTTGGACTGTTCAACAGGTAGCTATGACAGACAATGACCACCAGGGGGCAGACGGTCCATGCACAGGCATGGAAACATGGAACAGAATAATGAATCTGAGAGGAAGAGGGGGAGAGGGAAGGTGGGAAGAGATTAACCAAAGATCTTATATGTATATTAGAGGCCTGGTGCATGGACTCAGGCACTGGGGGAGTCCCTCAGCCCCGTCTGCGGGGATTGGGCCGAAACCAGCAGTCTGACATCCCCCGAGGGGTCCCGGATGGTGAGAGGGTGCAGGCCAGGCTGAGGGACCCCGCCAGTGCATGGATCTGCGCACTGGGCCTCTAGTACACTAATAACGAGTCTGAGAAGAGACTTTTTTTTTTTTAATCTATGCCCTTTTAAAATTATTTGAATGTTTATCACTTGCATGTATTACTTCATTATCGGCCATTTTAAAAACTGAAACAGGGTCCAGCTGGTGCGGCTCAGGGGTTGAGCATCACCCTATGAACCAGGAGGTCAGGGTTCGATGCCGGATCAGGGCACAGGCCTGGGCTGTGGGCTCCATCTCCAGCGTGGGACCTGCAGCCGGTCCGTGATTCTCTCTCATCCCGGATGTTTCTCTCTCTCTCCCTGAGAGCCACAGTCCCGTTCCCCCAGCCCCAGCCCATCAGCCTCGGCCGGTTCCCAGCCTGTGCATACGCCCTGGACGGTGGCACCTTCCTCTCCCTGGGCGGCGAGAGGATGCCCGAGGGCAGGGGGCACGGGCACGGAGAATGACTGGGACGAGAAGGAGGCTGGGAAACAGGCGTGGGCTCACACGCTGCCCTGCACCACGGCGGTCCCGGACGCCGTTCCGTGTGGCCTCTGTGGTCAGAACGTGACACAAACACGTCAGTTTCCCACCTCTCCGCAGAAAATGTCAGTTCCTATAACCTGGGGGGATGTTTAAACGGTGGGAGACTCTCCAGACACGATTTCAAGAACGGAGAGGGAAAGCCTGCAGGCTTTCTGAAATCGAGAACACCTGCAGCTCCCTCTACTGGGGACTCCCCTTCTGCAAGGACCACCTGCCTGTGGTAAATCTTAACTATTATAGAAAGAACAAACCGCCGTCGCTTCAAGAGGATTAAGCTGAAGTTAGAACACGGGACTTCACCGTAAACGTCCAGGTAATGCGGAACAGAAGCGGCCGTGGGAGCGTGCTCACCTGTACAACACGGCTCTGTCCACTCCAAACGCTCCCACAATCAAGTCTTAGAAAGAGCAGAAAAAAGTGTTAGTGATAATGATGGTTTTTGAAAACTCATGCCATTCCATACAACTGTCAGTACACACAGTCAGGATTCAAACACCGTCTCCGAGGAGGCTCAGGATGACCTTTAAGGCCAGAGTCTGAAAATTCTAAAGGGGCTCCTACCGATGGCAAATGCTCCTCATACAACGTGCCTCTCCTCCAGGCGGCAGCCTGCTCGTCGGGGGGCACAGCCCCACACACACGGACCATGGAGGGAACCACTGTGTAGATGCCTGAGGGGTCCACTGCACAAACATCTTTTCCTTTCTATTATTTTTCTAACCAAAACCAAAGAGCACATTACCTACACATAGAATACTTAGAACGGACAGCAGGCAGCACTCACATAGACACGAACTGAATGCATCCGTTTTCATATGTAGGAGGTACGAAGGACTCACAATTTGAAAGAAAAAAAATGCTGTCACAGCTCTCTCTCAGCATAACAAGCTGGATGTGAGGAACCCCCTTCCAGGCAAAAAAGGACAGGAAAAAAAACAAACATAAAGACAGGCAGACTGTAGTACATAAAAACCAAGAATGTCTGTTGCTCAAAAAAGCAAACGTGACAAACTAAGAAATACACGGGGACAGGAAACAGTGGGTGTACGGCTATGTGCATAGGATGCACAGAGTTCATTCTCGTACTATTATTTATTGTTGTTGTTATTTTCCACACCGACAACTGTAAATCTATCTTTGTCTTAGTGAACAGCCTAAAACATGCTATTTTAAGGCACCTGCCGTAAGTTAAAAAAAAATGAATGAAAGAAAAGCACCCCAATAAAAGAGAAAAAAGTACGTAAAAAAAGAAATTCACAAAAGTAAACAAATGCAAATGAATGAAACGCTCACCCTCACTAAAAACCAAAACAGAAAGCTAAGACACAATGCCGTTCCCGCCCGACACACACAGTTACTCCACAGGGAACGGAAGGGGACTCTCCACGTGAGAAAGACTGAGGAAAGCACCTCCCTTGCGACTGCCAGGGGCTGAGGAAGTGGCACACCTGCGCTCAGAGGGAGTGGGGCTGTAGCTGACAGAGAGAATCAACAAGCACCGTGCTTCCCTTTGACAAAACAATCCTCAACCTTTGTCTAATAATGAAAAAATGGGGGGGGGGGGAATAAAAATAAGGTGTACACACACCAGAATTATATACAAGAATATAAATGCCCCCAAATAAGGTAAATGAGATAAAATAAAGTCATTTGATAACATGGAAAATATAAAGTTCATATTTTTTAAGAAAAATTAATAACATGGGAAACATTTCTGATACTTTAAGTGAATAAAATATGCTATTAGTATTGCATAAAGCATAATTCTATTTTGTTCATAAATGTGTATGAATGCATTTGGAAGAGATTGCAAAATATGTTCTGCTGTATTTTCTAGAATTTCTATAAACACACTGAGTGGCCAGATCATGATGATCTCTGAACGCATAGTAATCTGGCCACTCAGGGTATATATGTTCTGGTGCATGAATTTGTGCATGGCTGGGGTCCGGCCAGCCTGGCCAGAGGTAGGGGATGTGAGAGGCTGGCCGGCCTGCCTGCTGGTCTAACTCCTGGTTGAGGGGACAATTTGCATATGAGCCTTTTATTCTTCTATAGGATATACACTGAGTGGCCAGATTGTTATGTGTTCAGAGATCATCATCATCTGGCCACTCCGTGTATCTTGCACTTATAACCAGAAAATTCTTGAGCTAACAAGACAGAGAGAAGAACCAGCTTCCTGTCCTGTTGCTAAGAGCACTGCATCAGACTGGCCCACTGAAGAGCAGACGGGCTCCAGTCCTCGGTCTGTCACAATGACTCGGGAGTCACAGGAGCCCGGAGAAAGATGTCCCTGTTTCCGCTGGCTCCAACCAGTGGGCGGGTGGGGCCAGCTCCTTTCTGAGTCTCTCTTCTCCAGAGAGAGGTGATGGGCTGAGAAAGCGCGCCTTCTTCAGACAATTACACAAAATAACGTGTTTGTTACAATCACAAAGAGTGGTCACATCCACAAAAATGTTAGATCACTGAAAACTAAGAGGCCCTGGCCAGTTTGGCTCAGTGGATAGAGCGTCGGCCTGTGGACTGAAGGGTCCCGGGTTCGATTCCCAGTCAGGGCACACGCCCAGGTTGTAGGCTTGATGCCCAGTGTGGGGCGTGCAGGAGGCAACCGATCCATGACTCTCTCTCATCATGGATGTTTCCATCTCTCTCTCCCTTTCTCTCTGACATCCATAAAATACGTCTATATTTTTAAAACACAGAAGGATGGCTAACGCTAAAACCTCAGAAGGAGCGTTCGGCTGGTGTATCACTTCTCAGACTTTCCCTCACAGGCTCAGAGCAGGAAGCTCAGAGTCTGCGGTTTGGCTGCAAACGCCCAGAAACAGAGCAGCCTTTCCTTCCAGCCCGGGGCAAGGAGAGGGCTGCCCACCACATGTGCCCGGCCGGCACGGGAGAGCCTGGACCGGACGAACACGGAGTCCATGTGGGACCATGTGCCCGGCCGGAAGGGGAGAGCCCGGACCGGATGAACACGGAGTCCATGTGGGACCGTGTGCCCGGCCGGCACGGGAGAGCCCGGACCGGACGAACACGGAGTCCATGTGGGACCGTGTGCCGGCCGGAAGGGGAGATCCCGGACCGGACGAACACGGAGTCCATGTGGACCGTGTGCCCGGCCGGCACGGGAGAGCCCGGACCGGACGAACACGGAGTCCATGTGGGACCGTGTGCCCGGCCGGCACGGGGGAGCCCGGACCGGACGAACACGGAGTCCATGTGGGACCATGTGCCCGGCCGGCACGGGAGAGCCCGGACCGGACGAACACGGAGTCCATGTGGACCGTGTGCCCGGCCGGAAGGGGAGATCCCGGACCGGACGAACACGGAGTCCATGTGGACCGTGTGCCCGGCCGGCACAGGAGATCCCGGACCGGACGAACGTGTGTCCATGTGGGACCATGTGCCAGCCGGCACGGGAGAGCCCGGACCAGACGAACATGTGTCCATGTGGACCGTGTGCCAGGCCGGCACGGGAGAGCCTGGACCAGACGAACACGGAGTCCATGTGGGACCGTGTGCCCGGCCGGCACGGGGGAGCCCGGACCGGACGAACACGGAGTCCATGTGGGACCGTGTGCCCGGCCGGAAGGGGAGATCCCGGACCGGACGAACGTGTGTCCATGTGGGACCGTGTGCCGGCCGGCAGCTCTGCCTCCGGGCGCACGCACCTGGGTACCCGTTGCGGTCGATGTCCGTCTGGCCCTTCATGGCGTAGCCGAAGCTGGGCGGCATGGTCTGGGCGGCCCAGCGGCCCTCCAGCGCCTGGGACGGTGCCGTGTTCAGGCCGGTGGCCCTGCCGTTGAAGATGTACACGACGCCCTTCCGGCCCTCACCCCCGTACGGGGCGGCGATGGCCACGTCTGCGGAGGGGAGGGGAGGGGGGGAGGGGGGAGAGGAGGGGAGGGGGGAGGGCGGGAGGGGAGGGGGGGAGGGGGGAGAGGGAGGGGAGGGGGGGAGGAGGGGGAAGAGGGAGGGGAGGGGGGAGGAGGGGGGAGAGGGAGGGGAGGGGGGAGGAGGGGGGAGAGGGGGGGGAGGGGGGAGGAGGGGGGAGAGGGAGGGGAGGGGGGAGGAGGGGAGGGGAGGGGGGGAGGGGGGAGAGAGGGAGGGGAGGGGGGAGGAGGGGGAGGGGAGGGTGGGAGGGGAGGGGCGGAGGAGGGGGAGGGCGGGAGGGGAGGGGGAGGGAGGAGAGAAGAGGCGGGAGGAGAGAGGCGGTCTTAGTTTGGCTCACTCCCTAACGCAGCCCCGGGTTCGAGGACTGCTGCAGCCCTGGGTGGAGGTGACCGGGACGCGGAGGCAGACGCTCTGGGTCTGACCTTGGACAAGCCCGTTAGCCTTTCGGGACCTCACGCTCCTCGTCCTTCAGTGGAGGGAGGGGAGGGCCAACACCCCGGCTAACGGGCGAGGTTTGGGGTTTTTTTCCCCCTTAAGCAAAAGTGAATCTGGCTTGGAAACTTAAAAATCAGAAATTCATCGTGGTCTTGCTCAGCTTACACTGAAATCACATAAACCAATAAACGTCTGGAATTCTAAAAAAAACAACTAAAGCCAAACCACCAAGCGGTCACTACGACCTTCCTAACTAAGCTATTTTACAAACGGCCCTCCCCTCCGGCTGCAGTGCCGCCTGGGAGCGCCCCCACCGCGGCCCGGGCCCTGGGAGAGGGAATGAAGTTTTCCCTTCGTTTAGAACGTCCTCTGAATGGTCAGGGGCCCATCCCATGTGCTGTAGATACAACACTGGCAGCTCAGCCCTGCAGCCTGTGGCTTTCAGAAAGGGCTTTCGTAGTGCTATTATTATATTTTAAATCTTGGTCGAGTGTAACCTATTCAATACATTTCATCCTATAATATAAAAGCCACCTTAAGTTTTTAAAAAACGCCTACAGCGACTGATTAGATTACTAAACGGGCTGTTCTAACACAGGGAGCTCCTTCCTTTTACAGCCTCCCTGGGTCACAACCAAGGGACAGCGTTAGGAGTGTCCACAGCCGATCCCAGCTCTGAGTGCGGGTGACAGCCCGGGCCCGGGGCCTGGGAGCGGGTTTCCTGGTCTGCTTGTCCCCACGGCGGGCACAGGGGGCGCTGCGAGCCGAGGCGGACAGCGGCTCGGGCAGGAAGAGAAAGCAGCGCCTGGGGATCCGTGTCTGAGTGAGCTCCGGATGTTAGAACCGTCCAGTTTGTTAATCTAACATCTGAAACGTCCGCTCTGGTTTGTAAGGGAAAGCACGTCACGGTGAACCTGGGAATCTGACACCGTCACTCAAGTCCTCCCCGGAAGGAGCTGCTCAGGGGGCAGGTCTCCCATGGGCCCGGACCCGAGCCCCCTGCACCCTGCACCCCGCCCCCGGCAGGCCGGGCCCTCACCGTTGAAGCCGTCCTGGTCCAGGTCGCCCAGGGCCCAGGGCCCGGACCCGAGCCCCCCTGCACCCCGCCCCCCGCAGGCCAGGCCCTCACCATTGAAGCCGTCCTGGTCCAGGTCGCCCAGGGCCCGGACCCCAGCCCCCCTGCACCCCACCCCCCGCGGGCGGGCCCTCACCGTTGAAGCCGTCCTGGTCCAGGTCGCCCAGGGGCCCAGGGCCCGGACCCCAGCCCCCCTGCACCCCACCCCCCGTGGGCGGGCCCTCACCGTTGAAGCCGTCCTGGTCCAGGTCGCCCAGGGCCCGGACCCCAGCCCCCCTGCACCCCGCCCCCCGCGGCCGGGCCCTCACCGTTGAAGCCGTCCTGGTCCAGGTCGCCCAGGGGCCCAGGGCCCGGACCCCAGCCCCCCTGCACCCCGCTCCCCACGGGCGGGCCCTCACCATTGAAGCCGTCCTGGTCCAGGTCGCCCAGGGCCCGGACCCGAGCCCCCCTGCACCCCACCCCCCGCGGGCGGGCCCTCACCGTTGAAGCCGTCCTGGTCCAGGTCGCCCAGGGGCCCAGGGCCCGGACCCCAGCCCCCCTGCACCCCGCCCCCCGCGGCCGGGGCCTCACCGTTGAAGCCGTCCTGGTCCAGGTCGCCCAGGGCCCAGGGCCCGGACCCGAGCCCCCCTGCACCCCGCCCCCGCAGGCCGGCCCTCACCGTTGAAGCTGTCCTGGTCCAGGTCGCCCAGGGGCCCGGACCCCAGCCCCCCTGCACCCCGCCCCCCGCGGCCGGGCCCTCACCGTTGAAGCCGTCCTGGTCCAGGTCGCCCAGGGGCCCGGACCCCAGCCCCCCTGACCCCGCCCCCGCAGGCCGGCCCTCACCGTTGAAGCCGTCCTGGTCCAGGTCGCCCAGGGGCGCGATGGCGCTGCCGAACCGAGCGAAGACCTCGGAGCCGTGGAGCCGGGCTGTGCGGAAGCCGCCCGCCGGCCGCTGCAGCGCCACCAGCACCTGCCCCACCTCCTGCAGCTTCCCGTCCGCGCCGCGGTCCATGAACAGCGGGGCGCCCACCAGCACGTCCGCCAGGCTGAGGACAGACCCCATCCTGTCACTCCCCCCGCCCCAGCTCCCAGCCAAAACCCCCATTCCACACCTCAGGGCCCCTCCCACTCTTTAAGAAAAGAAAACTCGGAGCCATCTACAAAACATTACTCTCCCCTTCCTGTCAGTGGTCAGCAAACTTATCGGTCTCCAGAGCCAAATACCAACAGGACAGCGACTGACATTTCTCTGGAGAGCCACATTTCTTAATCTTAAAATTCTCCTAACGCCACTTCTTCAGCACAGACTCGCCCAGGCCGTGGCACTTTGTGGAAGAGCCACACTCTAGGGGCCAGAGAGCCGCAGGGGGCTCGAGAGCCGCGGTTTGCCGACCACGGCTACATTTGATCAAAGCTATTAAAAGGAATGATGAGGGTTGGCAGGGCGGGGGGAGGTGAACTCGCATATGTACACGCATAGCCCATGGACCGGACAGTGGGGGGAAAGGCCTGGGGGGACAGGGGGGCTGGGAGAGGTCAGAGGGGGGACGGGGAGAGGTGGGGGGGATGGGGCGTCGGGAATACTTTGAACAACAGGATGTTAACAGATAAAACTCAGAGGAGCCTGTGTTCCTGACACGGCTGCTCAGACCGGCTCCCCGAACACACGACGGGAGCACAGGGCCCAGGGGCAGAAGCAGCGTTAGTCTCAGGAAAGCCGGTGTACACGCGGCCGAGCCGTGTCTGCACACACAGTTCTCACTCACTCGTCCCCGTTGATGTCCGTGGCAGCGACGGCGAATCCGAAATAGGCCGCCATCTGTGAGGAAGGAGAGGACAGGTTACCGGCGGGGACACGGCCGGAGGGGTTTCCCCTGTACACAGCGTGTCCTCTCCGCGCCTCCTCCCGCTCACACATCACACGCTCCCTCAGGCTCCGAGCACGTCTGTCCTAGACTGACTCTGAGCAGAGCGTGTCCCGGGTGCACCATTTCAGCGACTGTGCCTCAGACAGCCGGCCGGCTGGCTCAGGGGGTGAGCGTTGACCTGTGAACCAGGAGGTCACGGTTCCCGGTCAGGGCACAGGCCCGGGGTGTGGGGCGTGCAGGAGGCAGCCGATCCATGATTCTCTCTCATCATGGATGTTTCTCTCTCCCCATCCCTTCCTCTCTGAAACCCATAAAGAATATTTAAAATAATAATAACACTGCACTCGGGAGCCCCGGGCTGCCTAACGGTCCTAATGCGAAGCCGAGGTTCCCACAAGGAGCCGAGGAGAAGCTGCCTGCACACAGGAGGGTCATGTCTGCACAAGGGAGGATCATGCCAGAAGCCCATTTCAGCACGTCAGAGTGGCTGAGGGCATTTTCCCAGGCCTGAAAAGGATGCATAAATTGATAGTTTGCTGCCAGACAGCTGAGGGCACTTCAGTCTACATGGTATTGCCTCCTGTTGGCCAAACACTTGAGCAGCTGAGGGCAATTCTCCAATCTGACAACGGACTCTGTACCTAACCCTACCCTTTGATGTGTGTATCTCCACCTTGCCTTAGGACAAATTGTGTTAATAAAAAGCAAAGGGTCCTGAGACAAGGAGAACTTGGTTCCTTTAACTAAATCTTCTCTGACTCTCCCCAATACGCCTTTCAAAATTATGT